TCATGTGGATACTGAGAAGGGAGAACAACCAGGGCTAAGACCATCTCTGATGTTCAAGGAGGGCAGTGTTGTTGAACATGGTGTGACAGCAAATCTGAGACCCAGGACAGGACCAGGGGTCCACATCTGTGAGTCCACTCTGGGCATTTAGTTTTCACTCTGAGTGAGCTGGGGAGCCATTAAAGAACTGAGCAGAGGAGAGATCAGAACAGTCTAAAATGATTACTCCAGCTATCGTGTTAAGCAAGGGCTGAGTGGAGCAAGGGCAAAGCAGAGAGACCCCATAAAGACCACTTCAATAGTTCAGGGAAAGGATAGTGGCTGAGGCTAGGGAAGTCTTGAGAAGTTAGGAGAAGCTGTAAAATTCAAGGTTCATTGGAGGTGGAACCAATGATGAAGAGTGAAATCAAGGCTTTGGGATTGAGCAATGAGAAGAAAAAACCTAATTGACATTTCCTTACAACTATGAAGGCCAAGTGTAAAATCGGTTTCTAGGAAAGACCAGCAGCTGGAGGCTTGGACGGGAGATGTGCTGCAGACATCCAAGTGGAGATGTGGAGCAAGTGGCCGGACTGGAGTCACATTTCTCTATTGTGAGATTCAAGCATCCACAAAAGCAAAACTAAAGGTGGCTAGCAGGAAGAAAGGAAGGGGGTTAGAGCTAAGACCAGGTTGCACAAAGGAAGATTTCATGAAGCTGGGAATATAAAACAAGAGAAAAACAGATGGTACCATCCAGCATAAACGAGACTTTGAACTCCCCTCTCAAGAATGACCTTCAAACTTTCTAGAACCACCGATAGAGAAAGCCCAAGTTATCTCCCCAGGAAATCAGCTGTTGATTTAGAAATCCAGGCAAGTGCTGGAACTCAGTCCCCCTAAGCCCTGAGTTCTGTGCTAGGCACACTCATTTACCCTCTCATAACAAAACCCTGCACCACTAGCTGTGTTCATGGGATTTGGTCAAAGTCATGAGTCAGGACAAAGCATTGGGCTTCAGTCCCATCAGGGTCTTCCAAGAACGAAGCATTTTCTCAAGCATCTTCTCCCTGAGATCCGTACCTGACTCCTGGTCCTGAATCTGGCACAGAGAGAGGGCTCAGACAGGGACAGCTGGCTCTGGGGCAGTCACCTTGCTTACTTATTGATTCAAAGAATTACCCAATTGAGGAAAATGGGCAGAAGTGAGTTCATGGGAATAAAGGAGAGCAGTTCATCACCCAGCTTGACCCACTTTCTTCACTTAATATTCAGGTTGCAGCCATGAAGTAGTACTCCTTTCTACTTCTTCTGCTAAATTATTTCTTTAGAAGCAGTCCCCCAGAGGAAGAAATTAATGACCAAGAGGCCAGGCAGGGCCTCTTGTGGATCTGAATAATTGCTGCCACATTGCTTTCCCCCAAAGATTGGCCCCCTTACATGTCACTCACTACTAATGATTACATGCATATTTTTTCTTACATTCTACTTTTTTGCTTTATTAACTCAGTGGGGAAGCCAAGTGAGAACATATTTATTAATGCTGTGGGTCATGGAGCAGCTGTTTTTTTTATAGTGCTCACTAAAAAATTTGCACAAGAATGAATGTAGTCCATATATAGCCTTGGCTGTCTTTAATCAACAAATAAGAACAGATCACCTTCCCTAAGCAAGATACCTGCTTTGTATAAACATTTTCACTTTGCTTTTTTTTTGGCCCACACCAAAGTGTGATCAGGGATCACTCCCGGGAGTACTCAGGGGACCATCTATAGTGCTGGGAGTTGAACCCAGGTCAGTCATGGGCAAGGCAAGAACCTTATCTCCTTGCTTTCCCTCCAGCCCCTGCAGCAATACTTTCAATGCCATATGAATCAAATTCTTTATGATTCCACATAATATTAAATTTATTTATTAAATTATTATTTTCATTTGCTGACCGAATTCGATTCCTCCACCCCTCTCGAGAGCCCGGCAAGCTACCAAAAGTATCTTGCCCAAATGGCAAAACCCATGACGTATTCCACATACCAAACACAGTAACAAGTCTCAAGGTGGAGACGTTACTGGGCCCGCTCAAGCAAATCGATGAACAATGGGAGGACAGTCAGAGGGACAGATCATATGTTAAGTCCTTGAAAATTATAGTCTGATTTGTGTAATGCTTTTCCTGTGTAAATTTTTTCCTTTGGAGGTTTTAAATTTTAGAGAATTTAAAGATCCATGATTTGGGCAATTTGTGGTCCTTCTGGATTTCAGATCTATCATCTGGAAAATAAACTTTTTATGCATTTAAAAAAAAAAGATCCATGATGAAGTGGACATTTAAATTGAATTTTTTTTATTCTTTCGTTTTACTGTAAATAAAAATTTAAACAATGACTCTAGGGCTAGAGAAAAAAATACAAAGGTTAAGATGCTTGACTATGAGTCCCAGCCCTGCATATGGTCCCCCAAGCACCATCAGGCATGACCTGAGCACAGCCAAGGTATAGCAAACAAAAACAAAACAAAAAAGGAGTCTATGAAACATTTAGGTATAATGCAGTATGCAAAACAAAAGCCCTTCCAAACAAATAAAAACCCTATCTCAATGTATTGCAAAGTCATTTAACTTTCATTTAAGCTCGGGAGCAGAGCTGGGAGTTACATCTGGAGGCTTTTAGCACTTACTCCTAGCTCTGTGCCAGGATTCACTCCCGGCAGTACTCAGGGGACTGCACCTGGGTCAGCTACATGCCTTACCTGCTGTAATCTCTCTCTAGCCTGAAACTTTGGAGTTTTTTGGCCACCGAGTGCACTCTGAAAACCTGAGGGTCACTCAGAGAAGTTCTCAGTCTACCAGGCCAGACAGTTCAATGTGCAGGCCAGGTAATGTAGTACTGGTCAGGCCTGGTGGTACTGGGAGCCACCAGAGCCACATGTGGTGGTTTCATGGGGCTCTATAGTGCTGGGGAGTGAACTAGGTCTTCACATATGCAAAGAATAAGGGTCTGACCACTGAGCTATCTCTCTGGCCCCATTCAAACATTTCTACTGGAGCACTCCTAAAAGACCTGAACTTGTCCTTGAGTCTTATAAAACTCCAACACCACGGAAGGACTGTCAGTGTTAGAATAGTGTTTCTCCAACTCTGTAGCTATGGAACTCTAGTCACATAGCTCATCGCAGAGCTAGTATTTCCTTGCCACGCTTTGCCATATGTTGCTTTAACCTAACTGCATATCAAAAAAAAATCAAAATTCAATTATATGCTCCATGAGGGTAAGCACATATGTCTACTTCATTTCCTGCTATACAGACCTGGCACTCTGAACTATTTAGCAAAGGCTAGTTGTGTAAACAAACAAGTGCAGACACAAACAAAACAAATCAATCACTAGCATATACAACACTGAAATACCGATATTGCAAGATGCAGATGGGGGCAGAGACAGGATACTGCTACAGACTTCTGACTTAGAATATACTTAAAGCTTGGGAGGCCATCAGCAAATATTTGCTAGAAAGAACACTAAATAAAAGCATTATCCACCTGACCAGTCCAGACTTGACATCAGCACCCTTACCCCTTTCATTTTCATGGAGGGAAAGAAAACTTTTTTTTGGATAAAAGGGCGGACCCCAAGTCTTGGTTGAAGGCAGCTCAGCAGGGCTCAGAGACTTTAGAATAGTCCCTTTGAACACGGACTTTTATAAGTGGTAGTTAAAATAACTGGATGAGAGAATTCATTGTTTTAAAGAAGGGGATGCCTAGATCACCCTTAGCCCCAGAGTATATAGAGATGAGAAGGAAAGAAATAGAGTAGAAAGAGATAAGAGACAAATGAGAAGCAATGGAAGGCAGGGGTCACGGGGATTCACGTACGTCAGTGATGTTAAGGAATGACAGAGGTAAATATTCAAACCTTAGATTCAACAATGAAATCATGTGGCCCAACTTTAACAACCAACCTTATAAAGGTGCCTGTCAAGAGGGCAGGCTGGTGGTGGTGGGAGGTAGGCTGTAGGGGAAATGGGATAGAATGTGGGAACATGGATGGAGGGAAGTTGACACTGGTGGTGGGATTGGTGCTAGAACATTGCACGTCTAAAATTCAACTATGAAAAAACTATGTAAGTCACTGTTCTTTAATACATTTTAAAATAATAACAAAAACAAATGTCCCTTTGAAGGTACAAAGGTGCTCATGAAAATCACAGTGGAGCTTTCATGCACATGTCAGAAGCCATCTCCATCCAGCCTGGCAATGGTGGGCATTCCACTCCAGGAACATGAAGATCCAGCTTACCAGGAAGACTCCAAATCCTTCTCTTAAAGGCAGCCTGGAGTTGGGCGGCGGAGACTTCCATGCGTGCTGTGCTTTGAGTGATCCTATGGACAGAGCCTGGCACACCAAGATACATGGGACCCAAACCTTTGGGAGCAAGGAGGCTTTTCAAGACCACCAATGACTCTCCACCCAAATGAGCACAACTTCCAAGTTCCCTGTCATCCTGAAAGCCAAGGCTGAGCCTTCCTCCTTACCTTTTCACCCATCACTCAGCTGGAGCAGCACAAAACTTTCAAGAGAAACCTGTGTTATATATATATATATATATATATATATATATATATATATATATGATCCTAGATTAGTTTAATCTGCCTGTGAAAAACTCTCCTAGGGGCCCATGGTTGGGGGTGGCAAGGAAATAAGTGCAAGTGGATGTTAATAGATCCTTTCCCTGAGAGCTGAGATGACCGTCACCCATCTATGCCCAGCATCTAGAACAGCAGAGTACCAGGAGTTTTCCAGAAAGAGATTAATCCCAAAGCCTGGCCCAGGAGCATTGGGTGGCATTTTCCAAATATTACCCCTGGGTAATATTTCTTTTCAGAGTGCCCAGAGCAGCCCCAAAGAACCCGACGTCACCGTAAGTGCATGTTCCGCCAGCAGTTTAGGGAAGACCGATCCCCCTAAACCAACCCCTATGATTGAGGTCTGAGAAGCTTCCACGGCAAAGAAGAGAGGAAACAATGAGCTTTATAAAGAACCATATTTATTTTCATTTACAGCATCAATTACCATAAATAAAGCTAAACATTGCTTGCAGTGTGCAAAATACAGGGTTCCATGTGGCACCAGAAATGACTACGGAAGGTCACAAACATGCGTAGCAATGAGATGGGAGGCTAGCTAAGGAGGAGACTGGGAGGGGAGGAGGGCACTCTTTGGTTGACATTCTAGAAAGGGAGGGAGAGTCTGCAAGAGAAGAGAAGACAAGAGCAATGACTTCGTCCTTGGCTAGAACCTGCAGCAATGCAGGGAGCAGTGCAGCATGCAGGGCTGTGCAGACAGCTCGAGGGGACAACTGGGCTCTGGGCCACATGCAGGACAGACGCCAAGGGCAGCCTGAGACCACAAGCCTGGTCTACACCAGCTCTGCCACATAGGCGGGCCATTCCTCTGTAAGAGCACTTTTACTGTTCTGCTCCTGGTAATGATGGGAGGGGAGGCATTTTTTTTTTTTGAGTAGAGTCACAGGGGCTTTCAAACTGGCCTCTCTCTAGGCCAGTGTGGGTCATTTCTCAAAGCCACCCGTGGTCTGTGATCACGATTATTCATTCTCTTTGAGGCTGCTGCACCACCCAAGAGTTGCAGGAGCCAAGAGGGGTAAGAAGCGCCACATAGAAACCCTTGGTCTATAGTGTGGGCTGCAGTCAAGAAAGGCTCAGCTAGAAAAGTCGTGATTATGGTCCAAGTAAAGGGCACAAGGCAACCTTCTAATGGGCATTGTTTTAAAAATCCTTCTCAAGTCACCTCTGGTCGTGATAAATTTTTTCTATTGTAAAACCAATTTAAGAAGACGCTCCTTTGCCTGTGATTTTTCAGAGGCTGCTAGACCAGAGCGTTTCCTTTCAAAGCCGACCGACCCCTCTTTAGGGACTGCCGGGGTTAACCCTCCCAAGAAGGGAAGGAGCTTCAGCATCTCAACGCGAAAAGGCATGCAGTCGCACATGCGCGCGGAACCGGGGAGGCGGGGCATGATGGGTGCGGGCGGAGCATGCAGACAGTGCTCGCGGAGCTCAGAGAGAAGCAGGATCCGATGCAGACCCACCACCGCCACCCACGTTGTTAACCAACCATGCCACCTAGTGAGTCAGTTAGTATGCAAGACACTCGCTGTTAGCACAACCAGTATCACCGCGCGCGCACGCGGGCCACGGACGGGTGCAGAAAGATGGTTAGGAGTTAGTACCACTCTCTGAAAATCAGCAAGAGATCCAATCACCTCAGAGCAGAAGTGCATCAGCCAAGAAGTGGGTGTAGCACTGGAAGGCTGAAATGAACTGATGGCCACAGTGCAAGGTTGGAGTGAGAGAGAAAGAGAGAGAGAGACAGGAGAAAAAAAATAGATTTTAGTTTGGGGAGAAAAGGACAAATGACTGACATGGGTTGGAGAAGGCACAGGAGTTGAAAATAAAGGCAACTTGTTTGAAAACTGGGAAATTCCTCAGAACAAGTCACTGTTTGGTTTAAGACCAACGAACCTTTCTGGTGGTAACCAACTACCGATGTACGTACTGATGTGTCACGTGCTGTGGACATGTGTCAGCAGCTGCTGACGTCCAGGAGAGGTGCTCAGTGCCCCACCCCCACCGCTGACCCCAGTTTGACTATGCCCTGTGTCAAATAGGTTGTGGAAGATTAGAGGTCTTCCTTCCAGGACACCCCCTGCGTGATTTGGTGCTGCCCACCAGGAAGGTTCAAAGTCTCAGAACATACAATCATCTCAGGCTTCTGACAGGCACACCCTGTCTGTCTCCCCATTGTAATTCAAACCAGTCTCCTTACAGCCATAAGTGACATTCTCAGAGAACTCTCTCTGGCTTCTGGGAGCATTCCATCAAGCATCTTGTTGGTGGAATGCATTGGTGAGAGTTAACAGTAACACCGGGTGGGGGGAAGGGGGAGGCAGAGCTTGTGTTCCCATCATTACATTGTAAAATAAAACATAAAAATCAATGTGGGGGCTCACCCCCACATGGGGAAAGGCACATCATTGGACTAAGAAGCATTCCAACAAGGACAAAGGTACAGTTCCCAAGGACTTGCCCATAGCCGCACCCCTGTTGGAGTCAAGGGCTTCGGGGAAGTGTTGACTCAAAGGTCTCCCTGCTTCTTCCCATCCTATAGAAATGTGTCTCCTTAAGGCTCTCAAGAGCCGCAGCTGGCTGCATTCTAGCTGGATCTGGAGGAGACCTCTAGGAGCTGACTCCAGCCCACGCATGGCTCCAGAGGCACTGAGCACAGAGGAGGGTCTTTTCCTCAGCTGTCTCCACTGTTTAGCCAGGCTCGGCAGTGGCGCATGTCCAGAGTGCAGTGGGAACTGCGCTTTCTTCTTGTGTTCAGAGTGAAAAAAGCAGGTCCGTCTAGGCCTGTTTCTGAACTTGCTAAAAAGGGCCCATTTTCTTTTGTATCAGTCAGCAAACAGCTTCCATTCCCAGCTTCCCTTGCCAATCAGGACACAGGGGAGCTTCCCTCTGGAGGTCAAACACATTCTTCTGTGAGGACCGCAGGGAAAGATACTCTTTCTGACTGCTGTAAGTCAACTAGGCAAGGTAGCCGAGGGGCTGAGCAGCCAGGATGCCTGTAAGCAATGTTCCCTGGCAGGCCGTGCTCTCCAGAAAGATTACCCTGAGGTTCTACAAATGCCCTCTGCCTCAAAGGATGTGAAGGGAGGGTGCAGACTCTTCCCTCAGCCTGCTATGGGCCTGGAATGGTCTTGTTTGTTCAGAAGGCAGTACAGGCTGAGGGGGACAGGACAGGGAGGGTGTCCCCAGGGTCAGAACTCCGGACTTAGCTCCTCTGCACCATTGCATCAGCTTGATGGGGCTTGTTGTGGTCAAATACCTGTGAGCTTTTGCTGCAGTAGAGGGAAAATAGAGGTTTATAGCATCTGACAGAGCCCCCTTGGTTCTTTGGCCATTTGGCTCTCATTTGGTGTGGGGGAGGGAAGACTTAAGCTACTGTTTTACTGCAGGACAAGGAGCAAAACTGTCCTTCTGTCTGTGGGAAGACAAATAACAGACCACGCCACGCTACCATGTGCTTTTGTAGATTGAAGCCTACTCGGTCCCTTTCTCCTCTGGTTTTGTGGTGCCGTGGATGGAAGGTCTGAGACATGCCACACATGCAAATGACCTCGAGTCACCACCCCCCCTCCAGCCCCTGTCCCTTTCTTCTCGTCTTCTAAAATGATTCTACTTAAGTTGCAAAAAAAAAAAAAAAGAAAGAAAGAAAAGAAAAGCAGTTCCCTTTCTATGAGCAAGTGTATCAAGGGACAGGGGAAAGGTACTGGGCCCGGGGGTGGGGTGGGGGTGGGGGGGGAGATGGCACACTTGCTTTTGTTCTATAAAAGCCCAAATCATCAAGATGGCAGGCAATCACTAAGAGCCTTGTGGGACGGGGGATTGCAAGGTTCATTAAAAACACGTGTTCAGGAAAACTGATCCTCGTAGAGGGGAAAAAATAATGCTTTCTTCTTGGCTTATGAAAAGTTAAGAATTGAAATGTAAACCCAGAATCACGGCTCGCTTTGGTATATATATAAAAAACAAAGTACAATGTATGAAAAACATCCTTCATGTCAAGCGCATCACTGCCAGTGGACAAATGACCAGGCTGACAGGCTGGAATACAGGTGACTACCACGAACCTCTTTGGCTTTGAGCTAATGGGGCGAGGACACCAATGTCCCAGCCATTGGCGTCTTCACTACTTAGCAACCGTCTACACTGGAAATGTTAAGGCACTTGGGGGGTGGGGGGTGGGGGGCGGCCGGGTTTCACTGGAGTTTGACTGGGAGGCAGCGCAGCACCCAGAGGAGGATGCTCTCCAGGGCCTCCTCGGACTCCCGGTACATGGAGGCCAGGACCTCGGAGAACACCCAGAGCAGGGGCAGCCCGAGGCTCAGGAGCTCGTAGGTGTAGCAGTAGTGGTGAGCATTGTCCCTGATATGGAGGCCGGTGGCGCGCAGGAGTCCCTGAATCCAGTTAAGCAGGCTCCGGGGGAGGCGACGCAGGGCCCACGGCAGCCCCAAGGGCCAGCCGAGCACCTTCCTAAACAGGGAAGTGGTGGTGATACCTGGGGGGCTGCCTTCGGGGGTGGCGATGGCGGCCACTGCGCAGGAGCTTTCCGGAGGCGGGTCCCGCCGCGGCGTGTCCTGCTCCGCCCACGTCCGCTGCTCCTGACAAGGAGATGCAGGTGGCGACGTCAGTCTGCGCATCTCAGCCACAGGGACAAACCAAACCGCCCCTCCACCCCGAAATAGCTCAGCTCGGCCCATGTAGGGCTGACGATGAGCACCAGGGGACAAACTGACCATTGGATTCGTGAGCCTACAAAACACTGCCATCCTTCGACTCAGCCGTCTGTAATATACTTTTTTTTTTCTTTTTTAATCCCCCTCTCCCCTACCAACACACACACACACACACACACACACACACAAACACAAAGACACACACACACCTGGAGATTCTTGGGACCTATTCCTGGCTCTGTGTATTCAACACAACATTGTGGTATTGAAATTTGAACTTGAGTCCTGGCAGAGGGAACAGCCTGGTCTTCTGTGCCCCCTCTCCAGACCCTCGTCTGTTTATATTCTAATGTTCTATCCTCAGTGGATAGTTTGAAGCATGGTTAAAAGATGCATGCAGAAAGACAGTCAGTGTAAACCTATTTAGAAGGTCAAAAGATTAAGAAGCAATATGTCCAACAATATGAGATCTGTTCATTCATCAATTATCTTTGACTGGCATCAAAAGTTAGCCACTGAAAGAACTTTCAATGTTCAAGGGAAACTGTTCCTGGTACTCAGTGGAACAAAGGACACAGAAGTTGTAGATATAGGATTCCAGCTGGATAAATTACACTTACCCAGGGAAAAGTCTGAGAGGAAGTGTTATAAAATGTTAAGTGTGGTTTTCCCCGGATAGAATGGTGATAGGAGGATGTAATTTTCCTTCTGTATGTACTTTTGCTCATCCCCCAATTTTTTTTTCCTACATTGAGTCTATATTACTCCTGAAACTAGGGCAAAATCGAAAAGCCTTGAAGTTTGTGTCTTGTTGGTGGCTGATTCCTGAAGCTGTGGGCATGTCTGCTCCAAGCTACCAGAGGAGGAACTGTCTCAGACTGTAAGTTCAGCAAATGGATCCTCTGGCAGAGATTCCAGGGAAAAAGGCATTGGAAACAGCTGGGGGTACAGGAGCATTTGCCCTGTGGTTGGCATATAGGGTCCAGGTTGTGGCTAGCAGCAGAGCTCTTGCCTTGCATGAATGAGGCCCTGGGTTTGATTCCTGGTAATACCAAAAGGTCCAAAAAATAAAGGCTGAGCAGATTTAGCTGCACCTCTGCTCCCTCTGGGATCTCTTAGGCTTTTTTTTTTCTTTAGCTTTTTGGATCACTCCTGGCAATTCACAGGGGTTCTTCCTGGCTCTGTACTCAGGAATCACTCCTGGCGGTGCTCAAGGGACCACATGGGATGCTGGGAATCGAATCCAGGTCAGCTGCATGCAAGGCAAACACCTTACCCACTGTGCTATCACTTCATCCTCTCTCTTAGGCTTCTGACAAGCACCAGCACAGTCCCTCACTTGGAATAGGGCATGCCACAGCTGCAGGACAGGCTAAGGCACAGAAGCTGTGCACCCCAGGGATGAAGAGCCACTCTTCTTTATTTGCGTCTGACTTCCTCGAGGACCAGAAATGTTGGCCTAATTCAGGGAAACTTCTGCAGACCTAGTTAAGGACCTTTCCTTTTTGCACCCGCACTCTTGACCCAAACCTACCTCCATTTGTTGCTTCAACTCTGCCCGTCTCTTCCGTTGCTTACAGTTGGTTTTACAGTGAATGAAATGAGGTTTGCAGTAAAATTTGCCTGTAAGAGAAAAACATGCGCGTAGACACACATACACACAAACACACACACACACACACACATACACAGTTTCTTTCTCCTATAAACCAGAGCCATAGCAGATGTGAGCCAGTGTCCACTGCTGTGTATGGTCAGAAAAAAAAACCAATAATGTTTCCATCTTAAGCCTCAGACTTAAGATATGGATTATCTTCCATGCAGCTGACCTGGGTCCAACCCTCCCCCTTCTCTGGCACACTGCACATGGTCCCCAGAGCTCCACTAGGAGTGATCTCTGAGTGCAGAGCCAGGAGTAATCCCCAGCAAGGCCAGGTGTGGCCCAAACCATACCCCACCCAAAGATAGAGCTTTTATCAAGAGATGAGGCCACAGGCTCCTTTGTTGCCTAGGGGCAGGGCATAGAAAGGTGGGGCTAAAATTCTGTTAATCTCCAAACCAGAGCAAGGGCTAGTCTCCTCCATAGGCCTGTGGGCCAGCAGCCAAGTGGATGGCTCTGAATAGCAACTCTGGTCCTAGCTCCCAGAGCTTTCTGGAAAAGACTCCAAAGCTAGTAGAAGTAATGGTGGGGGGAGGGGTATAGCGAGGGGAAGGCCTGTAAAGCCCAGCACCACTGGGGCACCTTCCAGAAAAGTCATCTTTGCTCTTATAGGACTGTACTTATGGGGGTCTTGTTAAAATAGTAACTGATACAGGACTCAGATATATTAGACACAGTTGTTCCAAATACTTTATGGGATGGCCCAGGATGATACAGGAGAGGTAAGATCTGGATTTGGATGCAAGACATTTAGTTCCAGGCTGTGTGATCACAGAACGGCCTCTGGTGTAGAACAGTGCCAACGTCACGTGGTAAAAACCAACCATCTGTTCCAGGGAGCACCACTCTTTCCCCAGTCCTCTGACCACCATCTAGACATTCTCCTCTGCTTTTTAAATACTAGCATGGAGGGGCCATCATTTATTGAGTCCCATGACACGCCAATATGTTGCACTGGGTTCCAAAGTGATTTTGTCAGCCACACAAAGGGCCATGGAAGGTGCGGAGGCTAAATGAGAAAATGTATGAAAAGTGGCAGGCTCAGCCCCAGACCAGCCAGCTCTCTGGGTCCCCTGTTCGCACCCAAGAACCTCTCTAGAGGAACTCCAGACCCCCAACAGCTGTCCTGCCCACAGGCTTGCTGGGCTTCCACAGGGTCGGTAGCCCTTGCCAACCTCACGCGCTGTGCCTGAGCTTCAGCGTTACCTTCGTCGCTGTCAAAGGCGTAGGAGGGCAGACGCAGGGACGTGGCACAGATGTCGCAGCGGAAACACTCCCGGTGGAAGAAGTGACCCTCCGCACTCAGCCGCTCCATCACGTACACGCGCTTCTTGCAGAAGTAGCAGGTGTCGCTGCCACCCAGGTTGGTGGGAAACGACTTTCGCATAGAATCCTGTGGGGCAGGGGCATAGGACATTAGGAGAGAAGGGAGGTGAGTGACCCACTCACTGACCCGGAGCTGCCCTGCCATCCCCAACCTCAGGGAGCCCCTGGGAGCCAACTGGCCACTCAGGGCTGTGCAGCCAAAGAGGGAGGGTGGGAAAAGACACACCCACCCTGGGTCTCCAACCCTGTCCAGGCTGCTGCTCATTTTGCAACCCAAGAGAGTAGTGGGTACTCTCCCCATGCATGTTGCTATGGTTTCCCAGGAGAGGGATGTCTCCGGGGCTGACCAGTGGGCCTCCTTTCCCTGGGGGAGAATGTGGCCTGGGTCCCTGAAGACTATTTCACACATCTGGGACCTCTTGTCAGGGACTTAGACCAGCAAGGGCACTTCTGTTGCAAGAGCTAAGGCCGGCCCAGGGAGCGGGTCCCTAAGAGCGCAGCAGGCTGCTGTTAGCTTCAGTTCCAAACGCCAGGGGGCCAGGCAGAGGCAGGGCAGGGCTGCACCTGGGAGAGGACAGGGAGATGTGCTAGAAGACACCCCCAGACTGTCACTCCAATCTGACCAGTGATGGCAGCATGGGGCTGGGTTTGGGTTTGGCAAAGGAAAGCGGTTTTTTTCCCCCCTTCCCGAATCCCCAATTTAATTCCCCAAAGTGCTTCTTGGGGACTGGCTTCTCCCCCGTGGTGCCTGCATATTTGAATTTTTCAAAAATGAATCTTCTATTGAGATAACTAGGTTTACATGCAGCTGTAGGAAATACTAGAGATTCCATAAGCACCCCCCCGCCCCCACCCCCCACGGTTTGCTCAAAGAAGTCTGACAACGAATGGGCCCATGGGGCTCTTTGCTGAGCATTCAGAGCCCCAGACAGCTGGGCCTAGAGAAACAGCCCCCAGGGGAGCGGAGTGAAGTTTGTGACTAAGGAAGTGCAGCCCCCAATAACCCTGATCTCATCAGCCTGCTCACAGCCCCCCATGAGAAAGAGAGGCTTGGAGTGTAATGTTGAATGGAGAGCCAGGCTATCTGCCCATGTCCTCCTGGGAGGCCAGGGCCAGTGTCTGGGGGTGGCAGCTGCGGGGCAGGTATCCTTACCAAGTCTGGAGAGGCGGCCTGGGTCTTAGGTCTGTGATCATTCATGTATAAATTGACCAGCACTTCCGCCGCAGCCCCTATCCCGCTGGATACTTTCCCTACCGTCAGCTACCCAAGAACAGAGGCAGAGGAGACAGAGACAAAGAGAGAGGCCAGTTAGCACCGGAAAGGAGTAGCTCGATGACAGAGAAATCTCCGCACCCACAGGCCAACAGCACCCCAAGGCCCAGAGCAGCAGAAGCAGCCAGGAGCCAGCAGCAGGCACTCTGGCGGCCGAGGGTGGAAAAACAAGGAGGGGGAACCCTAAGTCCCAGGGCGTGGCTCGGTGGCAGAGATGCTGGCCTTGCAAGCACGAGACAGCCAGTCTGATCCCCCATGCAACTCACGTGCACGATGCTGAGTCCCAGTGGAACTATGGTTTGAGACTGCTGGTGACATAACAAAATGTGCCCTCTCTGGCAAACCACAGGCATGAGCGGGCACTATGCCTTAACGTACACCCCCTACCCACCCCCCGAAAGCATCACCACTAAAACTGTGTGAGCACTGTGCGTGGCCAGGCACAAGGCACCTCCCCTGCCTCTTTCCCATCCCCCTGCACTTGAGTACCTTTGTGAACACCACAGTGCCCCCTGGCAAGCACAACAACCTGTGACCCCAGCCACACAACATAACCAAGCACCAACACCAAGGCTGATTGATCCAGGTCACTGCACCCAACACAACCACCAGGAAGGGTAGAGAAAAGAAATATCAAGGAGAACCGGCACCCTCTGGCCATGGCGAGCCATGAGCCTAGAGAACCATACAGGCCCTCAGACTTCCTCCATTGTCTCCTTCACAGACTTCACCAGTGAGGTGGGAGGAAAAAGGGATCGGTCCAAGGCTGTGTGAGAACTAACGGCGAGATTCAGGGCTTTACCGGGATAGCTCCAGATTTTTCCATCAGCCTCACCAACCGCTTGCTTAGAGCAAGTCTATTTTTCAATCTTCTCTCAAAGCCCTTGACTAAGGAAAAGCAGCTGAGGAGCACAAAGAGGGATTAGCCACAGACAACTGCTCTGTGGTGACTCCACCTGACAAGCCCCTCTAGGGACTCATCCAGTTTAAGAGGCCTTTGCGAGCAGCACGGACCTCCCACCTGCTCCCCAGAGCCTAGGCAAGGGAGGTGAGGACAGGAGCTCCCACTTCCAAAGAAGCCTCAGCACTAGAACCACCATGGCAGGGCCAAAGTGATGCCTGCTCAGGGTCCTGGGACCATGAAAATACTGAGATTCTTCCACTTGGTATTTAACTGGGGGGAAGGGAGGGCTTGTGTGCACTCCTGCCATCTGTCTCCCCACAGGGCACAAGGAGGAGGAAAGAAATGGATTCCTATTTCTCTAAGTGTCCTGAGATTTGGACTTCCTTGTCACTTCCACTGTGGGTGACAGGTGACAGGGTGGCAGCGGGAAGACAAAGAATAGGGTTGAGGAGAGGGCCAAGTAGAGAGAAGGGGCCACAGGCTTTGGGGGGCCTCTGATCCCAGGACTTGGCTCGGACAGGTGGGGATGCTTCACACCTCCCAAAGCCTTCCCTTCTGCACAGCCCGTCCCATTCCACCTGCCCCCCACAGCCCCGGAGAGATTAGGATTCTCCTTCCATTTACACACTCGGACATTTTCAGGATTTCACAGATGCCAAGAAACTTGGCCCCTGCTTCCAGTAAAGACCCAGGTCTGCTGGCGCTCAACAACAGCTATTGTTTGCTCGTGGTTCTCTCACTTGACGGGGCCCCCAACAGGGGTTTCTTTCAACAGGCTGCAGAATACCAAGTCATAGAATTGGAGAGCTAGATCAGTGGGCAGGGGGCTTGCCTTCCATACAGCCCACCTGAGTTCGATCTCCAGCACCCCATTGGTCTCCTGAGCCCTGCAAGGAGTGATCCCTAAGCATAGAGCCAGTCAAGAGCCCGGAGCACAGCTGCGTGTGGCTCCATAACCAAAAACAAGTAACAAGCAAACCAAGTCATTCCTGGGTATACGGCACATTAAGAAGGGGGAGGAAGATCGAAGGGGTCAGACTTGCTGCCCTGCCCGCTCCTCATGGGGGCAGACCCTGGAGCCCAGTGTGTGAACCTGCTTTGCAGGGCGCTCCCAGAGAGGTGCCCCGGTGATGCCATGAGGCATAGTGCCTCATGCACAATTGCCTCCGCCCTAAGCAAGCAGGGATGGAAGACTGTACTTTCAGAGACTTAAAATGCAAGTCCCTAATGAGACCTTATTAACCACTTAGCTAATAAGCACTTTATGCCACTGAGCTTCCATGCAATCCTGACTTAGGGCACAATTATGGAAGCAGGCTCAGGGCTGGGAGGGGTCCAAACATGTCGAAGCAGTGCAGGGCTGGGCTCACCGTCCTGCCAGCATGGGGCACTCTCCAAGGCTCTCCTTGGTCCACAGCCATGCCTTGGCTTTCAGTTGTATCCATATCCCTACCTGGGCAAGGTTCTTAAGAAGAAGAGGAAGGCACCTTTCCAGAAACTGGCATTCATTCTCCTAACCAAGAAACATCTAGAATTGCCAGGGGGCAAGGCTGAAAGGTAGGGCACTTCCTGGAGAGGCCACACCAGGAGATGAGAGAGGGAGGGTATATCCCAGGGGTCGAGTGGAAGGACATGAAGCCCACCCTGCACCCCAGGGGATCTCATCTCTGCTTCCCACAGCAGCAAGGTTGGTTGCTGTTCTCAAAGGAGCGTCCAATGGCTGCCTTCATTCTGACCAGCCCAGGGGGACGCCAACAATCAGTGACAAATAAGCCGCTTTTGCTCTTCTTTTGAATCTCAAGTCCGTTAAGACCTGTTCTTCTCAGACACAGTAAAAATGAAGCACTGGAAATAGGATTCCCAGATTGGATGTGTGGCAGCGTTGAGGCACTCTGCTGGGGTCTAATACTCATTCTGGCTTGCTAGCCTCAGTGGGTCAGAGACTGGAACCTTCCCGTGGGCCACACTCTGAGCAGTGCTGCTCTAGTGGACTGGGGAAATGACCAGGCTCTTGGGAACCTGAGAGAGAAAGAGATGCACAAGCCAATAGAGAGAAGTTTCCAGAAAATTCATCCTGGTGTTAGCCTCACAGAAAGGTCCAGAAGGTGTCAAGGAGGAGATTTGAGAAACTGAGAAACTGGTTATGTATGTTCCAGGGACCGATTATCAAAAAGAGCCCTCAGATGGCACAGGAGGTCAAGTTCTTGCCACGCATGTGTCTACTTTGGTTTGAATCCCCGGTCCCCTAGACACCATAAAAGGTCACTCCTGAAGGCAGAGCTGGGAATAACCCCTGAGCACTGCAGGGTCCAGCCCAAACCTCTCCTCATACACGTGAAGGAGAGCTTTCAATCTGGTGGGCAATCATTTGTCTAAATGCCAAGTTAGATAAACTGATGATCTGTCCCAAAATGATCATGTCTCATGAAACCTAAAGGAATAGTGTAGCGACTCAGCGTACGTGGAGAGGTGTAGTCATGAGTTCAAATCCCCAGCATCCTGCCTGCACCAAGTGCTGGCAGCTGTACTATGTGCCCCCAGCGCTCTGAGTGATTTCTGGCCAGGCCACAGGCAGGTGAGTGTAAACACTACAAAAAGGGGTGCAGACTTCAGTCAGTGCCAGGACTAAAATGGAGTGTCCCGGCCAGGGGAATACATGCCTGGACCACCCTGTGTGTGAGCTGTGTAGTGACTCTGCTGAGCACCACAGTAGGCCCTGTGTGATTCACAGCATATGTCTGGGCCAGCATGTATGCAAGCAACTGAAGGAGTGCGGACGCTAGTGAGCACCGAGGCCAGGCAGGTGAGCACCCAAACCTGAGGTGCGGTCCCTGGCCAACATCACAGCTACAGATGTGCGAGCACCACAGTCAGGTGGTCTGTGGTGCCAGACTCAAAGATGACCCTTTGACACCCGCCCTCCCCCCAGACTTTGTCCTGGCAACAACAATGCCAAAGGGATGGCAGGTGAAGCGTTAAATGATCATGCCCGGTTATTAGTTCTTAAGTGCTGGTACCCTCTATGTATCTTTTAACTTTATATGTTTGAAGAACTGGGGTATTTCTTTTTTTCTTTTTTGCTTCTTTTTTGGGGTCACACCTAGCGATGCACAGGGGTTACTCCTGGCTTTGCACTCAGGAATTACTCCTGGTGGGGGACCATATGGGATTCCGGGAATCGAACCTGGATCGGCCGCATGCAAGGCAAACACCCTACCTGATGTACTACAGCTCCAGCCCTGAACTGGGGTATTTCTTATTTCCTCTTTCCCCTTTTGAATTGTCTTCTAGCTAATCAAACAGAACAAGCTAGAGTGCGGGCTGTTCTGCTGGGCCACCACCTCACATGACACTCCATCACCCTGTGCACACCATGTCCGTGAGCCCCAGCTTCTTTATCTGTAATTGGTGGTGGGGGTGGGGCAGGCTGGGGGTTGGGGGATGGGTCACTGCCCTCCTTGCAGGGCAGCAGAAAAGGGTCATCTTTGAGTCTGGCAGCCCTGGTGCGCTGCTGGCTCCAAGAAGCACTTGCCAGGTAGGTACTGAGCACAAAGCACCACCTGGTGCAAGCTGACACATGATGGACTCGCTTCTTCCTCATCTCAATGGCATGTTCCACTCAGGAAATGTGCTGCCTTGGAGTCGCTGCTCTGTGTCACATGGTGCGGCCCACCCAGACGGACTGCACCAGCCTCTCTCAAGCCCCATACCCCCCCCCCCCCCCCCCCGATAATAATGTGGTGATGAAACTGATGCCCCACCACCCACACTCGCCAGCGGCTGCAAACAATGGCTTGGCCGAGCCATTCCTGAGGCACGGAGACAGTCCCTGGCTGGAGAGTGGGGCCATTCTTGGCCTGCTCTGAACTGGCCCCTGGGGCTTGCCATCCCCGAAGGCTCCGCCCTGTCCCACTCATCTCTCCTCCTTGGCACAGTACACCTGCTGCATGGAGGAGGAAGCGTGGAGGAGGAAACGGGTTCCCAGCCCATTTACAACCTAACAATGGGTCGTTCCCCCTTAAGCCTGGAATGCAGCCAAGGGCACCAGGTGTCCCTGCTGTGTTTCCACAGTGCTAGGCCACCTGCCAGGAATCCTGGGGAGCCCTCAGGGGTCAGTCCAAGAGCTGCCAGACCCCAGGGCAGAAGCTGGGCAGGAAGGGGACTTTCACCAGGGAGGAAGGGAGCAGATTTCGGGGAAGGAACTTCCTCACTCAGAGTCCCAGAATGACACACATAAGAGGACACACAGGGCACCTGGGACCTTGGTGACTTGCTCAGGGCCAGTAAAAAAGGCGAGTGGGGGAGGGAGGGAGATTGCAAGGCTTGAAACTGCCTCACTTAAGGGGGTTGAGAAACAACACCCTCAGAGCTGAGAATCAGCAGGTCTGGGGGGCTGTGACTTCCTGGGGGAAGCAGAGGGGGTGTCTCTGGCCGGGGGCATCAGACACTGTGCTGTGGGTCTTATGACCCTGCCTCCCAGAGGGGCAGCTGGGGTTCTGGGAGGCCCTGGCACTGTCGCCATTGTGGGTACGGGGATGGAAACCTGATTTCTTTGTTCTGAGAGAGTTCACATGTCTTTCAGGAAAATGGATTTTCTTCTAGAATTCTCCCCCACTAAAAAAGCACCCATCCACTCACAAGGTTCTTTGGGCATGTTCAAATGTCCTCTGGGTGGAAGGCACCCAGTATGCCAATCGCCTTCAGGATATCTTGCTGTCCTCTCCCTTTTCTAATGTAATTTTTCTTGTTTCCACCTTCCCATTGCTGCCACTGCTGTAATGATGCTGGGGCGTGCCCTCTTGGCTGTGGTGCCAGGGATCCCAAATGGCACAGGGCAGGTGGGTTGAAGTCAGGAATCACGCTCACAGCCTCATACCTGCAGGGCGGGTGCACCAGCGCGGAGCCCTCTCTGGCCCTTTTCTCTCTACATTCCTGGGCAGGAGTAACTAAATCACTGAGACTCACTTGTCTGCATCACCCTGTGACTCCTCTGCCCACACTCAGCCTGGCTCCCAGCCACGTTCTTTCCCCTTAAACACGGTGCCTCTCTCAGACATGCCAGCCCCCTGCAGATAAAATGCCCCAGCTTGATTCCAACCTCTGTTCCAGGGACAGAGGGGGGTGATGAGGTTGGGGGAGACATAGCGAGATCTCTTTGGTGCAGATGGAATAAAGGCAGCTTGCACAACCCAGGGGGCCTTGCTTCCCTCTAATATGCAAATCTCTGGAGCAAAACCCTGCAAATCCAGTTTTTAAACAAACACTCTCTTGGGTAGAGAAAACTCCTTTTGCAAGGTACAGTCTCTCATAATCCAACCATAGTCCCAGTCCCCCTGGTCAGCTCTCCAAACACCTAGATGCCCTCTTGCCCTTATAGGAGCTCACCAGCCTTGCCAGAGGCCAAAGAGGCTCTGACCTCCCTTTGTGAGAGAGGATTAACTCATGGTTAACTCAGAGAGCTGGTACTTCCTCCAAAGGCTGGGTTCGATGGGTACTTTGATGGCTCTGGGGACAATGAATTCTAATCCTGTTGTCCAAGGCATTAAAAGACCAAGATTCCAATAAGAATCTGGACCCTAAATGAGAAAAGTTCCTGGTTCCTTCTGACTATCCAGGCCCCAACACCCATAATATCTATGTGAATCTTAAGATGGAACAGGATTCTGTGTGCACAGGTATGAGCATGAAGACCTCAGGTGAGGGCATGATGGCCTCAGTGAGGGCAACTCTGGGATTTAGTGACCACCTTTGCTTCCCTGGGAGTGGGGAGGCTCCTCAGAAGAAGGTTGGCTAAGTCTTCCTGGATCTTCAGTATTCGGGAACAGACAGTAGGGTAGAAAGTTGCCAGGGCTATACATCATAAAGAGCCTGACCTCACCCCTGCCTCAATGCCCTCTGTAACGTGACAGCCCTTCCCCAGCAGAGCTGGTCCCACAGGACATGTGGCCTTAGCTTCAAGCATTCTAGAATTCACCTAGGTATTATATTATCACAGACCATTTCCTTCCCCCTGTAGAATATAAGCCTTTACAACACGGGACCAGGAGTAATTCCTGAGTGCAGAGCCAGGAGTAACCCCTGAGCATCGCCGGGTGTGGCCCCAAAAGACAAGGGCTCAGCCCCAGTGTTTGTCCCAGCAGGCTGAGCAGAACTTCTCAGAACTTGCAGAGAGCAGAGGAAACAAAGGGATAGAGACAATTATTACCTTTTTGGCAGGAGAAACAGAGTCAGCAGTTGCTGGAGAGGAAGTTGCAGCTGGGTCAGGAGATGGGAGGCAGGAGTTGGAGGGAGAGGATGGAGGAAGAGGAGGAGACAGGCCTTTAGAGAGAAGCTTATTCTGCATAGAACAGAGACAGAGGAAACCAGAATTATTCCAGGGCAAGGTCTAGGGGTACTCAGCTCAACAATGCAGCCCAGCCTACCTACTCTAAGAGGGGGGTTTAGACACGATGGCCCGAATCTCAGGACAGGACAGGAGCCTGTCTTGGGAGCCCCGCAGGACTCCTCGGCACCTGGTCTCACCCCATTTGCCTACAACTATCCCAGCTCCTGGTCGCAGGAGAGCCAGAGTTGGTCCACACTCTCCCTGCCGCACGGCAGCTTGCAGACCCCAGTGCCTACTCTTGTGCTCTGGAGGTTGGAGAACTGATGTGGCAGCTGCCAGCTTCAGAAGGGGAAGTCCCGAGCTCCCTGGGGGCAGGTAGCCACAGACCATGGATCCAGGGCTCGTAAAACCGAGCTAAAGGCAATGCATCCTCCCCGAGACAGTGCAACGGAGCAGCTGACATAGTGCTGGGAAGATGAGGGGACAGCTGCAGAGGAGCGGTGTGCGGGCATCCCACCTGGCCGCAGCCTCAGCCCTGCTGCTTCCTCGGGGCCGGCAGCAAGCCCCGGGCTCCTGGAGGCTGCACTGCCTATTCTGAGGCACAGTGACCCAAACAGAGAGCAGGTGAGGACCTGGGGGTGACCTCATGGTTCAGGGTTTCTCCATGCGAGGTCCCAGGGAGATTGTCCCATGTGTCCAGAGCCCCCAGAGTACCTGGCTGGCACACACCAGCAAGGCTCAGGATTCTAAGCACTGACCAGCTCCCCTCTCCACACTGACCCTCAGGAAGCCCAGAACTGCCCAGACTGGCTTGGATTTTAGAGTCCTGAGTTTCCTCTTTTCTCCCTGTTTTATTCCCTTCATTTTTTTTTAAATGATTTCTCTACTTCTTTTGAATCTTCCCATTTGAGAGGGGTTTTTTTGTTTTTGTTTTTGTTTTTGTTTTTAAATTGAGACCATTTTTCATCTCTCGGGGACACCAAAAACGAAGAGTTCCCAATGCCCAGGATACTGAGCTTGGTTACTTGGTGGCGGGGGGTGGGAGGTGGGGAGGAGGCTCCCCCCGGACTCTATTTACCTGAGGGATATCCCCATGTCCAAACATGGAGGCCAGGTGAGCTGCCTTCTCCTTTATGTTCTTTGTGTGAAATTCCCTGTTGGCCAAGCTCTGAGCCCTCTTCTGCAGTTCAGGAGAGCGAGAAAGAAAAGCAGAGTGTGACAGAGGTTGAGGTCCTAGCCAGGAGAAAGCAGGGGTCAGGAAGATGCAGGATGGGAGACAGGGAGTGGACAGAAGGAGGGAGACCCCTCCCCCCAGCCCTGGGCAGGAGGAAGTGGGGAGGGAGAGAGGGTGCCCGGCACGAACAGAGCAAAGGGTTCACCTGTACAATCTTTTCCTCCACCTGCTGTAGCCGCCGCAGCACCCCAGAGAGGGCCAGCACTCCGGGACAGGTGGCAGGCAGGGCGGCAGGATGGTGGGCCACCCCCAGCTGTAGGTCAGACTTAGCTCTGGCTCTCCAGGGCCTGCTCTTGGCCTCACCACCAGCGGCTATTTGCTTTAGTTCCTGGAGCACTTGCCCAGTCACAACTTCCGGGAAGAGCTGGGAGAGAAGGGAAATCAGGCTTCCTTCCCCATGGGCCCTGCCTGGGAAGCTGGCACACAGGCCACTCGTGAGGCCCAGGATAGGGGCGTGCTCGCTAGGTTCGTGACTCCAAACCCAGCCCCCTGAGTCGATGATGGGCCCTCTGCTGCAGAACCACCCACAACACCAAAAGCTGACCCTGTGTCTCAGTTCTAGCTGTTCTCTGGACTACCCCCAAGGCACTGAAAAACAGCCAAATATGGGGTCAGGATGTGTCTCAAAGGGCTGGTGCACATGTGTGGCACAGGGGAGCCCCAGATTCCACCCCCAGCACCCTCTGGCCCTTGTGGCTAAACACAGGAAATAAAAGTTAACAAAAACTTAAAAAAAAAAAATAAAGGCTGGAGAGATAGCACACCAGCTCAGATGCTTGCCTTGCATGCAGTTGGCCCTGGTTTGATCCCCAGAACCACATGGCGTTCCCTAGCACTGCCAGGAGTGAGCCCTGAGCACAGAGCCAGGAGTACGCCCTGAGCACTGCCAAATGTGGTTCAAATACATCCCCTCTACTCCCACACAAAAATGAAAGATCTTTGGGTCCCGCTCAAAGATTCTGATTTCATTGGGAGTGAGCATGCAATTCGTTGTTTTGTTTCGTAACACTGCTCAGGTGACAGGTGCACAGCAAAAGTTTCCTGTAATGCAGCTGCCTAGAGCTTCCTCACTCCAGCCCCAGGAACAACGCACTGTCCTGACCTCTGCCCCATGTGGTCTATGAGTTCAAATCTCAAGCCCTGATCTCCAAGCTGGAAGACCTTCAATCTGAGGGTGTTGCCTGCCTCCTCTGCCTGGTCCACCCCACCCTGTGCCCAGGGAGACAGTCACCAGCTCAATCCGACCCAGCCAAGACAGGGCAGCCGATGTATGGCCCTTAGGGCCCCCAATCTACCATTATTAACTAGAAATCAGCAATAGGGCATTTGTCTTGCACGCAGCCAACTCGGCCGACCCGGGTTCAATTCCTCCGCCTCTCTCGGAGAGCCTGGCAAGCTACCGAGAGTATCTCGCCCTCACGACAAAGCCTGGCAAGCTACCCATGACATATTCGATATGCCAAACACAGTAACAACAAGTCTCACGATGGAGACGTTACTGGGCCCGCTCGAGCAAATTGATGAGCAATGGGAGGACAGTGCTACAGTTGACTCTGGTGATGCCCCACTTGAAAGCTAAGCATCCAGGGACATTTCCAAAACCCCTTCCCTGCCAAGGTTTGTTTCCCCTCAGCAAAGAACATGTGGGAGCAGGACCGTGGTCCTTGGGTGTGTCTAACTGGTCGGGGTGACCAAGGACACTGGCCATCAGCCCCACCTGGGGTGCAAAGCACGCCCCCGCCCCTGCCCCTCTGGATCCCCAGGACAGCGCCCACTGGAAGGAGCCCTACCTGCCTTTTCAGAGGAGCTGATGGGCTGGGTGTGGGCTCCTCTGGAGGGGGGCCGTGCCCATAGGTAGGCGGGTCGGAGGAGGAGCGCACGATGGGCTTACCTATCCCTGAGCCATGATGCTCCTGGGAGGAGGGTGAGTCCGAGAAAGCAGCCACAGGAGACAGGAAGGAAAAGAGGAGTGAGGCTGAGATGGTCAGAGGGAGGGAGGCAGGAGAGAGATACCCCAGAGGAATGCCAGCACCCGAAACCTGAAGTCTGGACCCCGCGAGTCCCCAACTCCCAGACTACATGGGGGTCCCAGGGAGGCTGTGCTTTCCATTCCAGTCCAGATCCCTGGGCAGAGCTCATGCCCGGCTAGGGTGGACAGCCCTGGTATCCCCCTGAGAAGGAGGAATCTTCCTGCTAGTTAGAGGTCAAAGAGTTACATTTTCTATACTTTTCTGAGCATGTTGTCCTCACTGGGCTCTGGGACCAGAGGAGCCTAGTCTCCAGAACTAGGCATTGAGAAAAAAGCTCAGAGTGTTACGACTCATGGGAAGAGGGCCCTTACCACAGGTAACACAGTCCAGTTTGACCCCCAGCACTACATATGGTCCCCCTGAGCCCCGCTAACAATGACCCTGAGAACAGAGTCAGAAGTATGGATGTCCTGAGCACTACCAAGAATGGCACCCAAACAGAAAATTTTCCAAAATAAAAGAAGAGATGGCTCTTTAGAACCCACTCCCAGCTTGCTGGTGAATGTGGGTTTGCCCTGGAGGGGCACGTATGGCCCACATCAAGGCCTGGACACCAAGCTGGAGCCACAGGTCCACAGGCACTGGCTAGCAGGTGAGAGAAAGCAGGACACCACCCCTCTCAAACTAATTAACCTTGCACCTATTCTTCTCTTGCAAGGAACAGACCTGTCATGTGACAGGAACCCCACATTCCAGACATTGGTAATGTGAAGATAGCAGAAACTAGGGGCAGCACAGATGGTCAAGCCAGAGGGTGGAGGGGTCAACCTCGCCAGCAGTCTGAACCAGAGTCATACAGCCCTCTTGGCCTCAGACTGCCCTGCCCCATACAGTAGTTGTACTTCCCAAGATGAAGGAACCAGGAAGTGGCAGCAGAAAACAAGGGGGGTTGTGTGTGCTCACATGGAGAGACAGCCCCATGACTCAGTTTCTCCTAGTTAGGGTGGGGCTTCTCACCACAGGCTTCAAGACTGCCAGCACCTCGCCAAGCACTACCCTCTCAGAGCCGGTTGCAAACCAGGTCACGGTTGCAAAGTCAAACCTCATCAGGGGAAGGATATTCCCCAGATCGGAACATCTACATATACAAACTGTAGTCCTTGGGCCAAATTGACCTGCCTGTTTTTGTAAATAAAGTTTTATTGGCAGACAGCCACACACATTCCTATAACTGCTTCCTGGCCCTGCTGCCTGTTTTTATAAATAAAGTTTTATTGGAACACAGCCACACACACTTCCTTTAGCTCCATGGCTGCTTCTTTAATACAGTAGCAGAGTGGGGTAGAGAGGGAGAGATTCAACAGGCCCCAAAGTTTAAAATACTGGCCATCAGACCCCTTCAAGAAACATCTGCTCACCCCCCAAGCCACCAAACTAGAAACAGGTGGAGTCTTGTACCTTCAAAAGAGCCCTGGCTGGCCGCTTTTGGCTCACTTCTCAGGATGACCTGGCCCCCGGGAAGGCCGGCCCAGGCGGCCTTTGGCAGCACTCACCTGCCTCAGCAGGGATGAGCCCCGAGAATTCTCCTCGAACTTGGCCTGCAGCTGGGTGGCCATGGACTTGACTTTGTTCTGATTTCCACCTTCTTTACTGCTGCTGCTTTCTGGATCAGAGTTCAAACTCCTTCTGGAAAAGGCTGAAGGCTGCAAAGACCAAACCAGTGCCTTGGTTATTGGACTCCGGAAGCCAAAAATCAGCAAGGGGTCCGGGGGGGCCCAGGACACGGGGGATGTTTTCTGAAACAGGATACCCCTTCCTGTTGGGGGTCCACAGAAGGTAGCACAGAGGCAGAGGGTGTCTGATGAAGATCATGCTCCCAAGAGGGCGCATCCTGCTAAAGACGCCCCAGGGTTGGCAACCAAATGGTTTCTTTGATTTCTGAGGCTTTCGGGGCCCAGCCCAGAGACCTTGGCAATGCACTTAATTTCTCTGAGGTCTCTGCATTTGTGAAGTGGGAGTAGTGTTCCTTTTCACAGGGCTATTGCAAAGATCAAATGGGATAATGACACGATGAGCAGAATAATTTTCAAACATCTTATGGCTGCCAAGAGGTGACAAACTGGGTTGGGTGTGTGTGTGGTGGGGATGGGGGGGGGGAGAGGTGGGTGCAGGCAGGCAGGAGACTCCTGGTTTCTTTCTCCTCTCTCCTCAGCACTTCCCTCCAACCACACCCATCCTGTTCTATAATGCCTCATTTACTGATTCCTTCATTATTTCATGGGGGGGGGGGTGGTCACCTCAGCAGTGCTCAGGGCTACTCATGAGTCTCTGCTCAAGAGGCCAGGTGGTGTCAGGGATTGGGCTAGGGTTGGCTGTGCTCAGGAATCACTCCTGGTGGGGCTCAGGGGGGCCATATGCGGTGCTAGCAATCGAACCTGGATCGGTCATGTGCAAGGTTAAGTGTCTTACCCACTGGATTATTTTATAGCCTCCTTGTTTTGTTGTTTTTGAAACAACACTCAGCTGTTCTCAAGGCTTATCCCCTGATTCTGTGCTCAGGGATCACTCCTGGTGGGGCCCTGAGATCATATATGATGGTGGGGATTTAATCTGGGTAGGCTGCAGATGAGGCAAGCAGCTCACCCAATGTTGACACTTCTAAAGGGGACAGGCCAGCTGCCTGGCAGCAAGACCCCTAGTCTGGGTGCGCTTGGTGCTCCCTCAGGATGAGATCAGGGCTGTGGATTTGGGGTGGGGTGGGGGGCTGAGACCCGGGTGAGGGATCTTCTCATTGCTTGACTCCTGGGAAAGTGGCATCAACCTGTCCACAGACAGGTGAGGTGCACACAATGACTGTCTTGCTAAGGCCCTTTTTAGAAAATAGAACCCGATGTAAGATTTGCTTAACTTGCTACTAAAAAAAAAAAATCAAACATTGAAGGTTCCCAGTGTTCACTGAAAGTCTGGTTTCCTAAGGGATCTCCTTCCCATGCATCCCCCGATCCTCAGGGCAGGGGGGTAGGGGTCAAGGTGGGGGCGGCCTACTTTCCCAAGGGTTCTCCTTCAGGGGCCAGACAACAAAGCGGGCTTCCTCGGAAGAAATTCATGAGAAGAGTAATTGTTTTCTTTCAAAACTCCCTCTCACTCCCCCCGGGGAACCTTGTATGCTCGGTCACTCTGAAGTGCTGGACAAACACAAACCAAAGGCTCGCTGCCCACTTTGAAGTATGGAAAGTGAGTCTGCAAACAAAGCAAGGCCTTGGGGGGAAAGAGGGGTTCCTGGGGTGGCCACGGTTTACACAAGACCCAGGTGGGTCAGGACCACGGATCAGCACTTCTCAGACTGAAGTCCCATGACACACTGGGGTCTCCCACGGAGGTGGACACAGACTCAGGAGCTCAAGGGTGGGTGCCAGGGTGCTGCGATGCCCCAGGTTTGTGGCCCACACTGAGAGTAGCAAGAATTTGGCTGTCTGGTTAAATCACTGGCTCAGAGAACAGGTCGGAGCCCTTTCTCCTGGTTGCGGGAGCAACCCATATTTTTTCCCTTTCCTTTGGAGGCACAGCCACTGTGCCATCATCCACAGGAACAGCACACAGCCATGGGTGCGAAAGGCAGAACTCTGGGGAGATGAATGGACCCAGTGGGCGTTTCTCAGGAGGGGAAATCTCTTGGGAGAATGACCGGTACAGAGACAAGGTCCAGCCTGCAACTGAGGACAGCACGTGTCTCTCCAGCCTCGTCAGTCAGCCCGGTTCTTCCTCCAAATGATCGAGTCATTGGCTCCTTGATTGTGCCAGAGCCAAGAGACAGGACAGACAGTCTTGAAGGAAAGGAGTTCTAGAAAGGATTGGGACAAGGGTAACTGGAACTCTTTGGATATATGTCTGCGTGAATTTAAAGATGTGAACCGAGGGCTGGAGAGATGGCTCATTGGGCTGGAGAGCCTGCTTTGCATGCTGAAAGGGCAGGTTCGATCCCCAACACCACCTGGTCCCCGTACACCAAGGAGTGGCCCTCCAAAGAACAACCACAACAAAATTTTTTTTTAAGAATATACCATTAAAGGTGTGGACTAAACTCCAGATTTTTTTCTTATCGGTGCTTCTCTTAGACATTCCCAGAAGTGGGGTGTCTAATATGGAGCGCCTCCCACCCACCCCTCCCACACCCCAAGGTGGGCCTGCTGCCTCTAGTTTTTGTCAGTTCTCTGTTGTGGGGACTCCTCGACAAGGCTTCCACAGGATGCAAGTCACAGATCTGAACAGAGACTTCATAAAAATAAGCAGCAATGAAGAACATGTCAACCACAAGAGACAGAAGTCTCTTTTAAGTCCTAAAATTTGAATCTGAAGAAATCATCACTGGGGAACCCCACAGTAATCTAGTTAGAGCTGAATTCTTACAAATCCCGGACAAGCTCCATGTGACTAAACAGAGCTGACTTCATACACATCCCTGGAAATATCCATGCCCAATTTTGTCACATTACCAGGGATATTTGAATGAACTCTATATCTCAGGGCTCTGAAGAAATGACTGGGGAAGGAGGAACTGATATTCTTTCAAGAATCTTATTTTAACATAATATGACTGCTCTACAGTTGGAAGCCTGCCTCATGAGCTGGGGGAGAAAGCAGCTGGGATAGGGAAGGGATCACTACGTCAATGATGGTTGGAGGGATCGTTCAGGGAGATGTGTGCTAAAAGTAGATAAAGGACCAAATATGATGGCCTGTCATGTCTGTATTGAAACCATAATGGTCCAAAGTAGAGAGAGTAAAAAGGAAACTGTCTGCCACAGAGGCAGAGGGTGAACACAATCATGAAAGTTTTGTAAGTGCAGCTCACGGTGATTTAATAAGAAAGAAAGAAAGAAAGAAAGAAAGAAAGAAAGAAAGAAAGAAAGAAAGAAAAAAGAAAAAAATCTTATTTTTCAGTCACTAGACTCGGTTTGGATCAAAAAGCCTGTACTTCTCTCCTATTACCAGAAGGTGGCGTTTGTGGGCACGAGACTAAAGAGTACCGAAAACATAAGGCACTGGTGGCTGTGAGGGTCTTTCTGACTTACTGTCAAGAGGGATTATATACTGATTAACACATGTGCCAGGTGCATGCCGGGCATGACATTCCTCCTCTTATTTCACCCTTAAAAGTCCTGCCAAGTTTCACACCTTTGCAATGATTCCTCTATTTCACAGTCCTGAGCTGCCACAGGTGGTTTTACCTTCTCAAGGGCACAGAGCTAGTGAGTAGGACAGAGAGGAGACGACCAGAACCCCAGGTCCACTGGGCTGTGTTCAGTGGGGGGAGAGACAGGGCCAGTGCATATGCCATGGCCGGGGGGTGGGGGGTGGTCTCTGGGGGAGTCAAGCAAACGGACTCTCTGCGCATATACCTCATCCAGGTTGTTAACGCCCTTCCGCCTCCTCTTGTTCATGTCATTCTCTTGGGTCTGGTTGTCCACCTGCAATGATCAGGAGAACAAGGTAAGTGCAGGATCATGGGGGCGACTGCCCCAAGCACAGCCCCAAGCCAGCCCTGGGAGGTGTCCCTGCAGGACACGGCTGCTGGCCAGGACATGGGGTTCCGCAGCTGTTCAGAGCACATGCTCAGGAGGCAACTTTCTCCATCCAGGGAGCCAGGGGTTCTACCAGAAGGGGCGCGGGGCCATAGCCCAGCACAGGCAGGACACCCCAAAGCAGAAAGGGTTTCTGCGATCCGGGTGGGCAGGAACAGCTGCTGTCCATGACTTGGAGCTCAGCCCAGTGACAGCGAGGCCTGCAGAAGCCCCTCAGTGCTGCCTTACTGAAACCACCTGCCAAGGCACCACCACAAGATCACCCCCCAGGGAAGAAACTCGGGATTCCTCTTGGCTGGCCAGGGTCTGCACAGCCAGCTTTGTTAGCCAGGCAAGCGCTACAGCAGCTCCCAGAAAACAACATTTTATGAATGTCAAAGAAGTATAGAATCTGGTTTGAAAATTATGTGGCCATTCAGCCCACTTTCCCCAGCAGTGATGCTACTGCTTTTCCAACAGCATCAGTATTTAGCTGCAGCATCCTGGTTTAGATAAGTAGTTACCTAGCTGTCTGGGTAACTGATAATTCCATATCTCAGTTCTGATGGCTCAATCTGGACACTGAAGGCCACAGAACCCTGCTTTCTTAAACACCCTTTGCCTCCCGCCTGCAAGGGCTACCAAAGTCATGTCCATGGTCAGGCTAGTCTCTAGGGAGTGAGTGGGGCTGCCCACACTGAGCTGGTGTTATTTCTGATATGGGGCAGGGGGATAGATTTACTACCCCACTTTGTACCCTGCAGGGTTAGGCTCTCCTGGATACTGGGGTTGGGCTTCTCAATCCCCTGCCTCTAGCCAGTGCCTTCTCCAAACAGCCAGTACCCTAGGGACTTGGCGCCATCACCATCACCCTGAACTCCCTCTCTGGCCTGGGGCCTCTTCCACCCTCACAGGGTCCTCGGAGCAGACCCAGATTCAGTGCTGGCCTTTGTTCCCCACTGGCTGCAGCAGGCAAGACTGCAAATGGTTCCCCAGCCCCACCCCCAGGCACGCAGCACAGTCGAGCCCCACGCAAGCACATGGCAGGTCACGGGACAGCTCTTTTATCTTCTGCTGTTTGGAAACAACGAGCGGGGTCAGAGTCCCAGCACACAGGCTACTACGGGTGCCCTCGCCTCCCCTGCTCTTCAACACCCCCCTATTCAGCAGCCCTGGTTTGGCTTTTTACATTCAAGATCCACCCCAGTGCAGTCATTGCTATTTTTCCCGTGACCCAGGCACCACAAAGCAATAGATCAAAGGGCTCTGTTCCTCGGCCTCCACTAAATCATTATTCTGTGAATGGAAATCATTTCCATCCAAATGCTTGGGCAAACACCAAGAGAAACAGATGACCTGATTCGCAACAATGAGGGGTATTAGAGGCACAGACCGTCAGGGAGTGAATGCCACTCGGCCCCGGGCCCAGAGCCTCTGATTTCGAGTACAGGATGTGCCATCCAACAAGAACATTCCCTGCAGATTTAAGGTTTTCTGGGTATTGTTTGTGTGTTGCCACCTTCAATGAGAACCTGGCTTTTCTCCCCAAGAGCGGCAGCGCCCAGGACTCTCCCAGAGTCCACAGCCCCAGGTCTGATGGCTGCAGGACCCGAGTGGGCTTTCTGGTTGGGGGAACAACAGCCATGCAAAACCCCACATCCTCGAAAGAACTGAGGAAGTGGGCGAGGACAACTGCAGGTCAGCCTGACCAGCAGGGGAGAAAAGCACAATCTATGTGGAGAGGGTATAAACCACAGACGCGAGCGGTCTCCGCTTCCTAGATCAGCATGCAAGTGCGGACTCTCAGCTGAGAGCTGGGCACAACCTGAGTGCTGAGGAAATGCCAGCTGGACTGTACACCTCTGTCTGAGGACCCTAACTGCCCCAGAAACCCAGCTCTCTGGACTCGAGTGTGCCCTACAAGGAGGAAGAATATGCCTGTCATGCCCAGAAAGAGCTTGAGAACAAGCAACTCTCTCTTCATTTTCCCCCAATCCTTTCCCCCTAAGAAACTAAGGCAAGCTTAGTCAGCAAACTAGCCTATTTCCCACTTACAAACATTATAGTTCTAAAAGCAACATAGAAAAGACATACATCTGCCAATCTGATCATTCATATGATCGACATGAGATAACCCTGTTCCCATATAGCTCAACTAGCTGGTCCAGTTAGTTGCCATCAACTATCGGGGTCCTGAGCACCTTTTAGGAGCCTCCTTCCCCAGTAATTGAATTGCTATTGTCAAACCCCAGACTGTGCTTGGGCAGAGCCCTAGCACCTCCCTGCAGACCACCCATGGGGCCCTCAGCTCTCCTCTGCCTTCTCCACATCACCACACTGAGTACATGCAGGCAGGGGACTGAGGAGGACTTTGCCAGTCCTTCTCTCATGCAGGATCCTTGCTCATCTTTACTCCTGGCACGGATGGAGAAGAGGAATTAGCTAAAACAGACTCGGGAAGCCTGTGTGCCACAAGTGGGTGGATGGCAGAGGCACTTTCTCCCTCAACGCCCTTGGAGGTTGGGGAAGTGCTCCTGTAGGAGGGTCACAGCAAGGGGAACTGGGAGGGGCCCCTGGACTGTCCGTTCAGGCTCCCACACAGTACAAACACAAGTGCTCAAGACGGAAGCAGGGGGCTTGGTGACAGTCACCGAAGCAGGGTCAATTCTGGGTCTTCGAGATGGGTTTTCCAGGGACAAGGGATGACTTTTGTCTTGTGCTGTTCCCCAAGGAATGGGTTCAGAATGCAGAAGATCAGGCAGCTGGGGGTGTGGTAACGAGGTATGTGAGGACAAACAGAACCCTAAACCCAGGCACGGGCCCCGTGCAGGAGGACCAGTAGCACAGACAGGTCCTGTGCATGTGCGCATGTGTGCATACACCCAGGATGGAGAGGGCATCTGCATGTTTAGATGCTACCCAGGATGCATGTGACGGAGCTCTGAAGCCCACAGGATTGTCCCATGTCACAGGCTCCCATGCACTGGCCAAGATCAGAGGCAGATCTTGGTTATTTTAAAATTTATATTTAAATTTAATATATTTATATTTAAATTTAATATGGGCTGGTGCAAAAGCACAGTGCGTAGGGTGTTTGCCTTGCACACGGCCAACCCGGGTTTGATTCCTCCGTCCCCCTTGGAGAGCCCGGTAAGCTACCAAGAGTATCCCGCCCACATGGCAGAGCCTGGCAAGCTCCCCTTGGCACATTCAATATGCGAAAAACAGTAACAACAAATCTCGCAATGGAGACATTACTGGTGCTCGCTCGAGCAAATCAATGAACAAGAGGACAGTGCTACAGTGATTAAATTAAATATAAATTTTCAAATTTATATTTAAAAAGCAACCAGTGGGCTTTTCAGAGGAAAATATGGGGACTAGAGGTTGGGGTGGGCTGGAGTGCTTGTGGCAAGACAAAAATGAGGCAAATTCCATTTCCTGTGTCATAGCATGAGCCACATGCTGCCCTGGCTCTGCAGAGCTCTGCTGTCTGCTCTCCTGGGCTCCACAAGCCACTTCCGGCTGTCCCTTGGCCAGATGTGCGACCCCTATTAACTAAAGAGTGAGTGTGTGCAAGCCCTACAAGTAGAGTGTGACCCCCAGCAAACCCCGCGGCGGAATGGGTGAGCTTCACTGCCGAGTGTGTGAGGAAACACCTGCCTCCCCCCGCAGTCATCACAGCAAGTACAGCAGAGGGCAGGGAAGGGGGGAGAAAGTTAAAAAGAAAGAGGAAGAAGATGAAGACAAACACGGAGAAGGAGAAGAAAGGGGAAGAGGAGGAGGAAGGGGAGGAGAATATTTAGTCCCTGAATTCTTCTCCTTTCCCCAGCCGTGACCGTTCCACTCTTCAAAGCTTTTCAGCCCCAACAGTTTACCACTCACCAAGACAACCCTCTTGGCATGGATGAGGCCGTTACTCTCTGTGAAAGTAAACAAGGTCTTTGAAGGAGGAGGCAAGTCGTTTAATTTTACTTCCTTGTCACCAGGAAGATAAAATTAGGGAGGAGCAATTTTAACACCAACAGTGAAACCCAAGAAGGAGAAATATTTTCTTTAATTTGAGCCACACCCAGCATTGCCCAGGCCCCCTAGTACTGGGTGGCCTGTTGGGGCAGCTGCACTCAGGAGGTCACTGGTTGCTGGGGCTTCAACTCACGGCCTAGTGCATGGCATGCCTGGCAAATGTTCAAACACTTCAGCTCTCTTCCTGGGCCATGGAGGGAGAGAGTTTGGCATATGCCTACATGGAGAAACAGTGAGTTCTCCTCAGATTAAAAGGCCATGAGGCAAATGGACACGGCTATCCAATCCTCATGTCTGGGGCTCCTCAGCAAGTCAAGTGAGGTCTAAGCAGGGGTGGAGGAAGAGGCTGGGGTCAAACTCATACACCTGTATGCACAGAGAGTGTGTGTGCTGTGGGGCAGAAGTCCCGTGCATGGCCCAGTGTCATCTCTAGTCTAAGAGGGCACATAAGCCTGTATCAGGGAGGGTGGGTTGGTGGGGGGTGTCATCTAAGAGCAGTAACAACTTCTCAGGGAACCATGCAGGGGGGGAGGGGGAGGAGGGAGGGAGAGAGAGAGAGAGAGAGAGAGAATGGGTCTGAGGGTGTGCATGAGGGTGTAAGTCTGTGCCAGTGTGTGCATGAATGTGAGAGTCTGTCAGTGTGTGCAGAAGTCTGTGTGAGTGTGAGAGCAGTTTCACCTCCCACAGATACCATCCATGTCTGCCCAGGAGCAAATGGATTCTGTACTCTGCTTGTGGAAAGGGTCAGGTCAAGGATGGTTGCCAGTGGGGTTCCCGACCGGAAGAGGATCTGATACAACAGTAGGACAGATGGAGGAAGTAGGAGCAGGAGCTTTATCTTGCGATCCTGCCCGCTGCCCTAAGCAGCGGAGACCATGTGGGCAGCTCAGAGATGTCCGAGACAGAATGTGCCCTGGCCTTCCTAGTCCACCCACCTGCCTACTCCCACCCAAGGAGCAGGTAGCTCTTCTGGTTCGCCCTGTAAAAACGGGCGTGACGAGCAGGGTTACACATGCCCAGTGGGTCCCAGCGGCAGGCTCAGTGGCGGGAGATCCTGGAGCAGGGCAGAGGCAGGCCATGCGGGTACGGCTCGGCAGCCTGAGCCGTGCCTCCTAGATGGGGATAAGACTGCATGCATCTGAGGCAGATGCCGCCAGTATAACAACAGCTTTCACTTTGAGGGTATGTGGTGCACGGCTAGGGAGTGGCAGGGGCCAGAGAAGCTGGGTGCAGCTGGGATTCTGTGCCTATCAGATGAAAACCTAGAAACACCCCCACCTTCCTGCTGCCCCCACTGGGAGCCCATCCTGCCGCTGGACAGGGCAGGGCAGAGCGGTACAAACACATCCTGGGGAGAACATGGCCACGCCGGCATTCCAGGCACCCAGCCCCAGTGGAAAAAGTGACCACAGCCCACACAGCCCAGGGAAGGAAAGATAAGGCGTCTACGTGGCCAGGCTGTGCCTGGAAGAGATGTGGAGGGTTGGCGGGGCTGGCGGAGACGTCCAGCCTTCAAGCAAAGTGATCATTTCCCACGAGGCCTGTAGTGTCCAGGCTGAGCAACAGAGCACCCCACAACCCCCACAACCCCCCCCCCCCGCCCCAAAAGCAGGGTGAGCTCAAAGAGGAGCCCACGAACAGTTCTCATTTCTCCAGGGATGCTCAGATGTGTCCCTTACTCAACTTTCAAAATACCCTTCTATCAAGCTATTTGGACTCAACGGCTTTACAATGGAAACTTCCAGTATTTTGTTTAACTTCAAGACATTGGGGGGTGGGGGGTGGGGGGTGGTGACAATATGATGGAAAGTGCAATGAAATAGGGAACTCTGGGAACCACCTTCTAAGGCTCTGAGTTCTTCAAAAGCAACAATTCCTCCTTCTGTGCTTGCTTCCCACCTCAAAAATAAAATATTCAGTCCTAAAGTTGGCAAACAGTGAGCTCCACTCATCTTTTATTGAACCAATGAATTAAAAAAGAATTAACGGAAAGTGAGTAAGCAGAATGTGCGCGCGCGTTCAAGCAAACACACACACACACACACACACACACACACACACACACACACACACACAGTACACCCAACACGAAAAACGAATAACATGGTCATCATGTTCCAGATCTAAACTGCTTAATGAGGTGAGAAATTGCGTCCTTTTCTCCTTGCAGGCAGCACTAATCTGATTTATTTTTGCAAATGCTCACCAGCCTGTCCTCTCGGCCCTCCACCAAGCTCATCCTACAACTGCTTCTAAATCACTGAAATGAGCCGTGCAGAGAAAGGGAGACTCACAAACAAGGCCAGACAGCCGTCCACCATGGAGCTCATCAGGCGGAGGAAGGAGATTCTCTATCACCCTTGCCCTGTCCATGTGCAGAGAGAAACAAAATAAACCCAGGCAGCAACTTACTCGCGGAGTCCTTTTCCTGGGAATCGTGAGATTGAGATAATTGTGGGTAATGGATGATTTGGCAGCCTCAAGGTCAGCATTTTCTTGGTAGTTTTTGCTCCAAGAATCTGTTTGGAAATGCAAAGGCACAATGAGATGTGGACGTAGCTGTTAACCATAGGGCTTTTGCAGGGTGCTGTTGCAATAAAGCCCCCTGAATTAATTCCCTCACCTCTGACTCAATGTCAAAGAGTGCTGGGGCAGAAGCAGTCAACAAGTGATTCCCCCATGACCAGGCAGGAGAAGACCCTCAACCCCAGTTGCCCCACAGAGCCACCAACACACACTGGGTTGGTCGGGGACCTCCAGCACTCTTTGTTCCTAGAATGGCAGAAAGACCTGGCACCGTCCCTGAGAGGAAGAAAGCAGTGTGACATGCAGAAGGCCAAAGGTATAGGGGAGAGTCTCGACTCACCCACAAGCAGGTCCTTACCCATAGGCCTCAGCGGGGTGCCCCGGAAGAGTTCGTAGAACTTGGAGAGGTACAGGACCATGCTGAGCTTGTCGGGCTCTTGGGAGGATGCCATCTCTTTCCCGGTTGTCACCGGGGGGATACCAAACTCACGCTCGGCCACATCAAACGCCAGTTGGTTGTTCTCCACAGCATCTTCCTCTCTCAAAGAGTCAAAATTTCTAGAAATGCAAAGTCAAGTTCAGGATAAGGAGACAGAGGTGAGTAAACTGTGGTGTGGGCAGAGTGTGGGGTGAGAATGAAAGAACAGGGATCCCTGACTTGGCCCCCAATCCCACTCCTCTGGAGAGAGGTTAACCCTTCTGCATACAGTGTGGGACCAAGTCACATTTGGGTCCATACGAATGTCACTACTGCCTGGGTTATAGCAGCAAAAAATGAAAATGTATGAGCTTGGGAAATGTATGAGCCATTTTGCTTTGACTTAAATTTTTTTACCTTAATTTTTCCTTTTCTTTCCTTTTTTTTTTTGTTTTGGCCATACTAGTGGTGTTGAGGGCTTACTCCTGACTTGGTGCTCAGGAATCATGTGATGCTAGAGATCAAACCTGGGTTGGGTGCATGCAAGGTAAGTGCTACCATGTGTTACCTCTCGAGACCCCCCATTCTCCCTCTTTGATTCCAAAACCAATGCGGTTTTCCCCTAAGAAGATAATCAAGTTATATATAACCAAAAAAAGTGAGAACCTCATTCTCTTCTGCAGACAGATAAAAGAACTGATAAGTTTTGGGGGTTTTTTGGTTTTTTTTGGGGGGGCACATGTGACAATGCTCAGGGCTTACTCCTGAACCCACACTCAAGAATTACTCCTGGAGGTGCTCAGGGACCACATGGGATGCTGGGATTGAACCTGGATTGGCTGCATGCAAGACAAACACCCAAGCTGCTGTGCTATTGCTCCAGCCCCAAGAACAGATAATCTTTTGATCAGTTTCCTTTCAGCCTTTTGGGAAACCATGCTTTCAGGCATGAGGTTACATGGCTGGTGATTTAAATCAAACACCAACAAATATTTTGTGCTTTCAATATAACAAACAAAATCAGATCTTCCTAAAGGCCACAATTGCTGATCTATAGATGGAAAAAAAATCTCAGAAGCTAGACAGCTTGCTTGGATGATCTGGGCCACAAAGCTAATTATTTGAGTTATCAAATGGATCCCCAGAATTATGTCTTATTCTTAATTCCGCGTTGAATGTAGTGCTCCAAGAAGTGAATGTTCTAATTCTGGGGGCAGTGTGGCAAAGGGTGTGTGTTGGGGGGGGTCAGGGGTGGGATCAGAGTCTGAGCTGCTTTGGAGGCCTTCACGCTGCTGACAGAGCCATCCATATCATGGCAAAGAACTTACGACTTACGGACAACCTGAAATCTGACATAGGTAAAGATAAAAGTTGGAGGCAGTTCTGAGGTGCTACATCTACAGACCAGCCCTGGTTTCTCCTACTTCTCTTGGGCTATACGGGGCTCGCTTGGCAGGACCCCAAACTCACATCAGCTCGGGCCGGAAGCGGTGGATGATGGCACACAGAGCCAGGCCACTACGCCAGGACGTGGTCAAGTCGGTGATGCGGACATTCTGGTAGCCCTCGGCCTGCTGCTGGCACCAGGTAAGGAGTTTGTTGGGCCGGATGTCTGACTCTGCGGGGGTGGGGGAGACAGATCATGGTGAAGCACCCTGAAGACACCTGGGCAGTGCCCTGAGAATTCTCACCACTGCCTCTCCATCAGTGGAGACTGGTGGGGACAGCCCGGGTACCACCTCCATGGAGCTGAACGATGATCTTGGAAGAAGGGCAGAATGCCAACAGGAAGCATCCCCTCTCAGAGGAGGGTTCCTAAGACCCTCTTCAGCCATGTCCCAGAGACATCAGGGATTCTGGGGCAGACAGACACAGACAGCAGTCGATGATGGGGTGCTGCAGTGGCAGAGGATCAGGGTGATGTGGGAACACTAGGGCAGGTGCGACTTGAGTTGGCAGGGGCTGGGAGTGCTTCCCAAAGTGAGAGTCCCAGTGGGAATTCAGGGATACCTCAGATAGAGGGCTGATATTCCAGGAGAGCAGAAAGGAGGGGGTTAGGGGGAAGAGTCTAGGACCATCCAGCGTGCTTGTGTGACATGGTTTGTGACAGGTGGCGTGGGTGCACGGCTCGGCAGGCTGTGTTCACCCAAAATCGAGAAGGAGAGACAAGATCTGGGCAGCGAGAGGTCAGAGAGGCCTCTAGCAAGATGGGCTCAGCAAAGCCAAGGACTGGGGGCTCATTGGTTCAGTTGTTTGTTTCTCTGCGACAGAGCAAGATATCATATCCAGTCCTGGGTGAGGCCCCAGAAAAGCAGGGAAAAGGGGAGCTCACGGCACTTGTTGACAAGACACCCACAGTGGCAGCAGGAGAAGGAGAAAAGCATGAACCAGAGAGATCATCCCGCGTCACCTGAATGTGCTCCACATTCAGCATGAAGGAGTTTCTTCTGGCCTCAGACCATTCTCCCCTAGAGGAAGCCCTTCCCATGATTTTATGGATGAACACAGTGCCCAGGCCCCAGGTGGGCTCAGAGCCCCTCCCATCACCTGCCAGCATCCTCAGAAAATGCTTACCCCGCCGGGAGAGGCCAACGGATCGTCTCATGGAGGCCACTCTCTCCAGAGGGAAGTGATGCAGCTCCTTAGTGATGTATAGGTGCTGTACCTGTGGGCGAGAGAGACCGCATAGCTGGCCAGGATGCACCCCCCTCCCCAGGGCCTATCTCAGGGCCTCTGGACCAGGTCCACCCCTTATCCAGTTTGTCTTTTCCTCTTCTTCTGGACACGATGCTGGGCATCAAGGGCATGAGCTTCCCAGGCCGCCAGAGATAGAGCACCTCAATCACCCACCCAGATATGCACCAGGGGAGACTCAAGTATGCGAGTGTGAAGCTGGCTAATTTAAAAACTTACACCATCCCTTGAAACTGGAGAGACTGGTGGCTTCCCTCTGATTCTTCCCAAGTCAGAGGGAGGAGAAGAAGCAACTCTTGGTACAGAATGGGCACAAAGATTCCCTGCTCCCCTGGGACTTGCAGAGAGGCTGCTTCTCTCTGGTCACTGTCTCTTGGGGCGCTCCGAGAGAGTGGACTAGGCCTCAGAGGCAGTGTGGCCTCAGTCCCAGCAACGCACGGAGGTTTTGGGGACCCCTCTCCCAGCCTGCAGTGCGGGGTGACACTGAAAAGACCTTAGGCAAGGACTCACCTGATGGGGCCTGACACAGTTGGAGTTGAGGTTCGGGTACCGTGTCCCTGGGTCCAGCGTGTACTGCTCAAAGTTCTTGTTGATGTTCTCTGGGGTCGTTTGAGGTAATAGTCGGTAAAGACTTTCTCTGTGGGGAGACAGAACCCAGAGGTCAGGGGCTACTCTGGCTACCTCAGGCTTCTGTCCCTGCCTCTTGCCCTGTTCTTCAGGCCTTTGGGATGATGCCGAGGGGGACTGGAGGGGGTGTGTTGTGGAACCCTTCCTGCAATGCCTGAGGGCTCTGTCTGCAAAGTGAGGGAGGGTCAAGGGCCCCGAGAGGGCAGTGTCCAAGAGTACATACTGGCATCCTCCCATCCTCCCGGCAGAACATGGCTTTGAGCCAGTGGCACAGCTGCCTGTGGTTTCGTGACAACTACCACTTAGCCACGTGGCCACCTGTGGCCAGCCGCCCCCCACAGGCCTGCACACCCAAGACCCGCAGAGGTCTGTCCCCCACCCACTATCCCCAACTTCTTCCAGCCCAGCCAGGTGGCCAGCAGCTGGGAGCAGGTCCCAGCAGGGTGGGCCTGGAGCACTGCCATAGGCAGAAACCATCGTTTTCTGGATTTAGGGTCACTGAGCAGCACCCCAATGGTAGAGCTGCCCCAATTTCTTTTCTGACATCTCAGGTTTAAGGTCCTGCTGCTAGAGAAAGTGCCTGAAGGAAATATAAATCATAACGAACAAAGTTTCCTGGGGGGCCTGGGAGGCTAAAAGTGGTCCCATATGGGAGGGCAGGAGAGTTGAGAACCCAGGATGGGGCTCACTGAGGAGTTGACAGACAGCCAGTCTCAACCCCTCTCCTGCCTGAACTTTTGTTCTCCTTTTCTTTTATTTGGTGAGGTGTGGGGGTGTCTCCCAAGTGGTGCTCAGGAGACCTGGGTACCTCCCAATGGTTGCCACATTATTTGGGGACACTCTGCAGGTACAGCACTGGGCAAGGCCACTAGAAGGCATATCCGGTCCTGTTCCTCCCAAGCCGGTCCTGGAGGACCAAGGGCACACACTCACCTTTCAGCCAGCAGCTCCAGGGGAGGAGTGCCCTGGTTCCAGCTCCTCACCATCCAGGCCGTGTCAAATGCTGCCAGGAAGCCTCGGGCACAGCCTGTGCCCATAGGCCAAAACGGCTGCAAAAGGAAATGGAACATAACCACCCTGCTGGACTCTGAAACCTTCCAGCCTGCCATCCCTCCTGGCCAACTAGGCCCACACAGGCACGGGAGGATGGGAGGGGATGGGGCACCCAGCAGGCTGCACCATCAGCACAACACAGAACTGGCAACCGCAGGGTCTACATGAGGGGCAACGTTGGCCCAGGAAGAGCAGCACAGCCCTCAGTACTCAGAGAAGACAAAAGTCTCACTCTTTCCGTGGGGGTTGAGAAGCAGGCCCACACCTGGGGGTGCTCAGGGATCCCTCCTGGTAGGTCCAGGGGACCATACAGAATGCTGAGGATTAAACCTATGTTGATCAAGTGCAAGGCAAGCACCCTGCCTGCTCCCCCATCCCTGCAGAGGAAGTCTTTCTTTAAATAGGGACCACACCCGGTGGTGCCCGGGAATAGAGGGGATGCTACAAGCTGCTGGGGATCAAACCCCGTGTCTTGCACACGCATGGCCTGAGCGCTACTGTCCCTGGACTGCGGATGAAGCCTTCAACAGTCCGGGAGCCTGTCCCCTGGCCACCTGCAGGCAGATGCAATCGGACCTTTGTCCCCCTGGGGAGGGATCTGCCATCCATCAGGAACCAGAAGTTTCACATGCAGGTATTACCTCAAGCAAACTGTCGCCGACCAGGGCCACCAGCAGCTGGTGTGACTGGCGCTCCCGCACCAAGGCCGCGTTCTCGGAGGCGTACATGGAGGTGAAGTCAAACATGGCCGCGTCCGGCTGCCCATAATGGTTTATGGCAAAATCCAGCGATGGCAGCTGGTAGTTGGTGGCGAAGTCAGCAGCCTCTCGGGCATAGGAAAGCAGGTTCTCCTGGTTCACATTCTCTGCGCAAAGCAGCCGCTCCGTGTCGATGTAGTCCTAAGAGGGGAGAGCACAGAGCCCAGTGCGGCCATCTGCCCCCCTCCCCCCGGGCCAAATCTGCATGCCCACTTCTGGTTGACAGGACTTTGGATGGGGTCATGTGGGGAGGCTCCTGAAAACAGAGCTAGAGGACGAGGCTCAAGGGAATCAAGTGGAGTCCCCTGAGCCAGCTGTGAGGTAATACGATTGCAATCAAGCATCTATGTTGGCTTCCAGCTTCCTGGCAACCAGGGCCAAAGGGAAATGTGACAGGCTACAGCCTTTCCTTATCAGAAAGAAGGAAGCACCAACATTCCTTCAGGGAGGCAATTGCTTTCCCGGCACTGAAACCTGAAAGAACGGTCCCTCATGTAGGAATTTCATCAGGGGACATTGTGTTATAACAAACGGCGTCTCCACAAACCAGCTGATGGCAAACAAAGCAGTGAATCTTAAGCGGCTGGTTCTCAGTGAAATGAAATGCCAAAAGACTGGATGGAGGAGGGGGTGTCCCATTTCCTTTGGGCCTGGGGATCTGAATGGGCTGGATTCTAGCATGAGAGGTGGCCACGGAGAGGGAAGCAGCAAAACTGAGCCGGGGCACACATGCTGGGGGAAAAAGCAGCACAGATAGAGAAGGGACCACCAAGTAAAGGATGCTTGGAGGACCCGCTCGGGATGGGTGATGTGTACTCAAAGTAGACTATAGACCGAACATGATGGCCACTTAATACCTGTATTGCAGACCACAATACCCTAAAGCTGAGAGAGAGTAAAAAGGGAATCCGCCTGCCACAGAGGTGGGGAGAGGGGGATGGGGGGCGGGGATTTGGGAGGGATATTGGGAACACTGGTGGTGGAGAATGGGCACTGGTGGAGGGATGGGTAGTCAATCATTGTATGACTTAAACGTATATACAAAAGTTTGTAAATCTGTAACTGTATCTCACGGCTATTCATTCACTGTCACTGTCACTGTCCTCCCATTGTCCATCCATTTGCTCAAGCAGGCCCAGTAATGTCTCCATTGTGAGACTTGTTACTGTGTTTGGCATGTTGAATATGTCACGGGGAGCTTGCCAGGCTTTGCCGTGAGGGCGGATACTCTCGATAGCTTGCCGGCTCTCCAAGAGGGGTGGTTTATTTAAAAAATTTTAAAAATTAAAAAAAAAAATTTAAAAGGTATTGACTTTTGTAACCCCTCCCCCAATAAATAAATAAATAAACAAGCAAATAAATGAAAACCCTAAACATAAGGGGAAAAATAACTGAGCTGGGGGGAGAATCCAATATACAGAGCAGCCTCCCCACACATGGAGCTGGGACAGAGGCCATGGGATGCTGCTTGGAGCCTCTCCTGAGAGTAGAATCGGCACCAGGAGATGAGGGGTGAATGCGGGCAGTGCTGTGCTGACCCTGATATTGGAAGAAACCCTCACCGGCTTGCAGGGGACCCACAGCAGGGGCCTGGGGCTGGGCCACCTTCACTGAGAGGGAGAGCCAGGAGGACACAGCCGCAGCCCAAAGGTGGGTGTGCTTCCTCGGGAAGAGGCTCTTGCCCCCACCCCCCAGCAGCCATGGAAAGGACGCCAGAGCCGGGCAGGAGCAGCTAAGCAGGGCCAGCAAACCTGCACGCAACACTGCCTGCTGTGTGTGCCTGGAGAATGCTGAGCTGGCCTCAGGGGAGGAAGTCAAACAACACCCCCAGGAAGGGCCACATGAGCAGCTTGGGACAGGAGGCTCAGCATCCAGCTGGTGCAGCTGCCCCAGAGGCTGGCTGGGCCCTGCACAAAGGCATAGGCCATAGCTTCTGAGTCAAAGGAAGATCCAGTTCACCCACGTCCCTCTAGCTGGCTGGACTCTCTGGCTGGCCCTCAGCACCTGCACACAGAGCTCCCAGAGGTCTCTGCAGGGAAGGATTAACTTGGGCCTGGCCCTCCCTACTCCAACCCCAATCCCCATCATGGGGGACCAGTCATGTCTGCCCCTGCCTTGTGACAGAGGCCCTCACTGGGAGCACGGAGAAGGGTGAGCCCTTGCAGCATGAGCTGTACGCTTGCTGGGGACCCGATTGGAAACAGCATCCCAGCAGGACTCAGCAGGGGGAACAGGAACCCCGAGTCCAATTTCACCAGACTCATCCCCCTCACCCCCACCCCAACTTGGACTGATAATGAACCTTCTAGCTCCTCTTCCTCCCCCCACTCCCCGGTAACACCCAGCGATGCTCAGGGGTTCCTCCTGGCTCTGCACTCAGGAATTACTCTTGGTGTGCTTTGGGGACTATATGGGATGCTGGAGATCGAACCTGAGTCGGCCGCATGCAAGGCAAAAGCCCTACCTGCATACCATCATTCTGGCACCCTAGCTCCTCTTCTATCAAGGTACCCACCCTACACCTGCAGCTCCAGGCCCACTGGGTGCATCACTCTCTGATATTGGTACCCCCAAAGAGAGCTTGGGCCACTTTGTGAGGGCTGACTTTGTGGAGGAGAGAAATGGGGTGTCCCCCAACACACACACACACACACACACACACACACACACACACACACACACTATGGGGGGAGGGGGCAGACAACACTCACAGGTCTGCTGGCTATGCTCAGTCATCAACTTCATCCCACCCTACTTGCACCCTGTCACCTCTCCCCCAACACCCCCAATCCACAACCTCCTGGCTGGCAACGCAGGCTCCCAGCATAGAGCCGGCTGATGGAGGAGGCCCAGGGGAGGGCTGGGTTACTAATGCCACCTGGCGGGCTGCCCACATAAGCTGGCAGGAGGAGAGGCACATTCTTTTGTGACAAGCAGTAATGAATGGGCATCCACGCTGCCTGGGTCACGGCCCACTGTTGGAGAGCGGCTGACCTCAGGCTGCGAGAGCTGTTTCTGGAAGCCACAGCAGCTGCAGTAGAGGCCGGGACAGGGGCTCTGAGAGGGCTAAGAACCCAAGCCCAGGAGCTCCCAGCCCAGGGCTCTCCACTCCACATGCTCTTTCCCTCAAACCCTGTCTTCTCTTTCAGCATCCCGATGCCAGGGTGGGAAGCAGAAGCCAGGCAGCCCAGCAGGACGCGAGAGCAGGTGTCGGAACCAGGCATGGAAACCATGGGGGGAATCTCTCAACCCGCTGCATCCAGGCACTGTGCTATGAGGAAGGCTTAGCTTGGATCTTAATTCATTCAGTCCTGTGAATGGCTCTGTCAGAGAGAAACCATTGTTCCTATTCCTGCAGATACGATTACAGCTCAGAATGGTTCGGCAGCCCACTCACGATCCTGAGTCAAGTTCTTGACTGTAGAAACTGTAGAGAGCTTCCCCTCTTAAATGACAAAGTGCCTGTGGCCACATTGTGACGTTCACGAGTGAGAATGTCTCATTTGCACCACGAGGACAAGAACTGCCAGCTCCCTCACAGTGATGAGCGACCTCCCAAGACAGGGGGGAGGGTGGAATGAAACATAGGGAAGGAGAAAACCCAGCTGCACTCACACCTGGGTGAAAGGCTTGCACCCACCACGCAGGCTTGTGTGCACACCTCTGCAGGGTCCTAAGGGATGGCCAGTGGTCCCTTTCCTCTCCCCATTGCCTGGTCTGGCAGGATAATGCCCACACTCATGCCTGCAGAAACAGCCCAGAGATACATACGTTAATGATGACACCTTTGTCCAGCAGACTCTGCTTCTTGGCTGTCATAACAAAATAGTGGGTATAGTCTTTGTAATAAACAATGTTCTCCAGATCAATCCCTGCAAAGAGAAACCACCACAGGCTCAGTATTTCTTCCTCAGCACCTTCTGTGTGCCAGAACCTTGGCTTTGTCCCTTGCAGGCCTCGTAATTTATTTGCAGAATATTTGTGGTAGACCTATCTTCAAGACATGCAAGGCTGGAAAAGATTAAACCAAGTGCCAGAAATGGCCCCACTCAACACAACTAGTTTTTAGAGTCCCACCAAGGGACTAGTTTGATTGAGATATCATTGGCAAGCAGCATTATATTGGTTTGAGGAGCACAAAACAATGCAATATGATTCAAAAAACCAAGTTGTTGGCGGTATGAGCTAGAATTCCTAAGTTAGAGCTAAGCGCACGCTGCAGAAAAGCTCAGAGCTGCCCAGGGCATGGCAGTTAAGAAATGACAAAGCCAGGATCTGAGCCGAAGCCTGTCTGACTCAAGTCCCATTCACTGTGCTCTGCCCGGGGCCAGAGGTCCAAAGGGTTGTGTGAATTCTGCAGACCAGGACAAGGGATGCTTCTGACATTCGCCTAGAGTGTGGGGAAGGCCATGGTAGGAGCTACTCAAGTTAGAGGGCTGGTTGTATCTTCTTATACTTTCTAGTGTCATCTAGGAAAAGCACAGGAATTGAAGAGAACAGGAGGGTTTATTGACAAGGAACCAATTCAGTTGGGATGGATGTCCACCAGCCGAAACTAGAAAACTGCTTCAAAGAGATGGGTTTTGTGCCCAGCAGTGACATAACAACTAATGGACATTCTAGCAGTTGTTCAAGGAAACTCAGTTTACTCATGAGGGAGAAAGGTGAGTATGAACACCCACCATGTCTACAGAAAATAGCAGAGAAACAGCATAAGGCAGGTGTGTATTCAGTATGGTAATGAAGACCAAGGGGACTAGAGGTTGAAGTGGGTTCTTCTGCACAGCATTCATGGCTGATACTGACTGAGCCCTTCTCAGTGCAAAAGTATTCTAGAAGGTTCTGCTTTGACCCAGTCAGAGCCAAGAGAATGCAGTGAGGAAGAGGTCACCCTCTCCAAACTGCAAGCCTCAGGCTAGTCTCTCCTCTCTCTCGCTCTGTAAATCTTTCAACTTGGTTCCTACATTTGAAACTTGGCTATGAATAAATATGCTCAGTGGTTCTCAAAGTGGATCTTCTCACAGAAGTTCACCTGAGAATTCACTAAAAATGCAAACTATCAGGGTCCCACTTTCACTTAAGGAATCAGAAACATTAGGGTGGGTCCAGCAATGTGTGCTTTTACAAGGCCTGCGGTGATTCAAATTTACGATTCGGTTTGAGAATCCCTAGATTCATCGCTGCAGGGAAAGAAAGACGTGAAGCAACTTATCAGTCAACATAGAGGAGTTCTGGGTAACCATAGGAACCCCTTTATTGCTGTTAAATAGGAAACAGCCATCAATGCTGAGGGCCCCCCAGAGAATTTGAGGAAATTCATTGCTGTCACTGTGTGAGGGCCACTGCTGAGAAACAATAGCCAAAGGTGACGGCCAAGGCAAATGGAAAGGAAGCGCACCTAAACATGTGGAAAAACACATTCCATGTCCGGCCATCATTTATATTTGGCGCTTTATTTAAGTATTTATTTTCTTGTGTTTGGAGGGAAAGGGAGGGTTGTAGAATTCTTAAATCATTCAAAAGGGTGTAATATGATGGAAGGAAATACTTAAAAAAAAATAAATAGTACTGCAATCATGATGAAACCTGAAGGTCAGACGATAGACAGACATCATAAAGACCAGGGAAAGGCTGACTCATAAGGAATCTCGTCCATAGGAAACTATGGAAATGATCCAGCCCAGCTGGAGAGAGGTGAGGGGTCAGGGCACTGGCCTTACAGGCACCAGGATCGAGTGTGTGAGGCTGAGAGTTACAGGCCTTCACATCCTCCTTAGCTCTGCCCACCTTGGCAGGCGCCCCTCTGGCCTTGCTGGGCCAATGCAGCACCAAATCACTGGGCCCTAGCATTGAACCTTCTGCCAGTTGGCTGAGTATCCTTGGGAGTGGCCCCTGGGACTCTAAGCACTGATTAGAAGCTCCCACACCCCCATCCAAAGAAACCTGCAATAGCAAATAATCTACAATAGCAAGTAACTGCAAGCTCTAAACTGGAGGTCAGCAATGTCTTCTGAAAAGAACCAGACTAAATATTTGGGGCATTGTGGCCACTGGGGGGTCTGTGTCATAACCACATACTGTGAGAGCAGCCAGAGGTAATGACCTAAGCAAATGGGTGTGATCACACACCAGTCCTTTTTTTTTTAAATGGATCTCAAAGTTCAAATCACACAATTTTCATTTCTCACAAAATTTGCTTCCTTTTTTTTTTTCTTTAGTCACTCAGAATTATTAAAACCATTCTGAGCTCAAAACCATGTGGCCAGCCACAGCCTGCCCATCTCCAGTTCCACGTGCAGGCGGAGATAGTACATCCGTTGAATGGACTATCTGTTCTGCAGCGCACTATGCTGAAGACCGTCGGGGGGACGAGGCTGCAGTCGGGGAGTATGTGAAAGGTGATGCAAATGACAATAGCAGAATGTCCAGGGTGGGGACATTGAGGAGATCTGGAGCCAGGTAGAAAGCGAGGATGCAGGTGGAAAAAATGACCAAGAGTAGAAAAAGGAAGCTCAGCTCCTGCAATGGGAAATGCTAAGTGTGGATGATTTATTTTTAGTATCGAGACATGATTTAATGCTGTTAGTAAATCAAGGAGAAGTAGATATTTTATTAACCAGGTTTAAGAAGAAAGGAAAAGACCTGGAGCTGTTTCCAATTACTCATTAGGAGCAGGTTTACAGCCTTCTTACCCCCAGATCTCCTTTATTTTTCTCCATCTCCTAAAACCACAGAGAGGGCAGCTTATTGGTGAGAGCTAGGGAGAGAGAGAGAGAGAGAAAGAGAGAGAAGAGAGAGAAGAGAAAGAAGAGAGGGGAGGGGAGAGAAAAGAGAAGGGGGAGGGGAGGGGAGAGAGAAAAGCGAGGGGGAGGGGAGGGGAGGGGAAGGGAGGTGGGGGAAGGGAGGGAAGAGAGAGTTGAGGATTGAACTCAGGGACTCACATGTGCAAGGCCAGTGCTCTATCACTGAGATACATCCTGGCCCTGGCCTTTGCTTTTCATTACTTGTCTTCACCATAAACTCCAGGAGAGGAATTTTATTGGTTTTTCCCTCTGCTGGATCCCAGCCTTTTCAATCATCCAGGGGCACATAAGCAGGGGACAAATATTTGTTGAGTAAATGATGAAGCCCCTGCTTTTTCTCAGGGTCCGTGGTGGAAAGACCAGGGTCTCCTGGGTGAGTGTCCTGCTCCTTGCACATCCCTCCTGGGAACAGGTTAAGGGCACCCAGCACAAAAGCATCCTACCTCTTTAGGTCTACCCCCAGGTCACTGGCTGGCTCCTCAGACTGCTCCTTGAATCTCACAATGACCTCAAGCACAGGCTGACCACCTGATTAGGATGGCTTATCTGGGTGTAACCTCCTTACCTCCCTCTGCTTCCCTCCTCCCCCCACCCCACACACACACACATAAATTGAATAGGGAGTCACTTTGGGAGGGGACAATGCAGATAGTACATCCCATGATGCATACGGGTTGCTCAGTCAATCTCAGCCCAGTAATGGGTATTGAAAGCTCCCAGAGCTTATATTTCTCATGATGCAAATCTTTAAAGCTTTCATGACCAAGCCCTTTCAATGAGGCATCCCCTTCCATGACGTCTAAATCAAGCACAAGGCAAGCTACACTGACAGCAGCCTCTGCTCCCACCCCCGGGCACCTGCTATTTTATGGATACTGCTAGATTGGATCATTGATTAGTTGGGACTAACTTGTTGACTTGGTCTTCCTTCCTTTTTCTTTCTTTCACTCTCTTCCCAGGCTGTAAAGTTCTGCTTTTATGATTTAGATTCACTAAATAGAGAACAAAACCCTTGCAATCCTAACCTCTCACCCTCAATCCCACTAAAAGCAAAGCCTTCCAAGATAGTCCATGCTCCTAAACTCATTCTCTACCCAGGATGCTTCACTGTGGCCCTAAGGTACTATGTTTTCCCCTCTATTTCTTCAAGGTTTCCTGGTAGTTTTTGCTGAAGTCTATCTTACAGTAATGAGAATCCATAGGGTAGGTGTAGTTAGAGTGATACTGGGTAATGGAAAACTTACCTGGGCCCAGGTGAGTGTCCCCCAGGCACTGCTAGTCATCAGTTTTATTATCCATATAATAAAGGATGACTGAGGCTGACTCAAACTGGATGTTTATCTATTTTTGTGTTCCACATCCAGAGCCCTGCCCGACCTTGAAGGAATCCTGATCATCATTAGCCTAGGGAGACATTCCTGTTTCCACCTTAGCCCAGAGAGTCCTGGGTCATGAGAGCTGGAGAAGCCAACTGCTCCTCTCTTTGAGTTAGAAAGCACAGGCTGGAACCTGATTTGGAAAAAGGTGAAGGTCCCACCTGTTTCTTCTCGAAGATCCTGAAAAAATTTCTGATTGAAGATGAAAGCCACACCACTAATCTCTTCCACCTTTGCCTCAGCGGTGCTGTTCCTGTTTATGAAGTTGGCGGTGATCGCAATAGCCAGCTTCCCACGGAATTCTTTTCTTCTGAACCCTGCAGGGAGTAAAGGAAAGATAGTGGATATGGTATGAAAACTGAAAAAGATGACTAAGAACTCTTTTCTGACACCCCAGAGGTCCAGTAAAAACAGAATTCTGCATCTCTAGAGATCAGGACAAGGCAGAAATGCCGAGGTTGATATCCACTGAAGAAACACATCATCAGAAGCTTTCCTAAGTTACAGGGACTTCTTCCTTTACTAAAATTTAAAGAATTTAGAGACAGGAGGTATGTGCGGGTGTGATCCATGAGAAGTTCAGTGAAAAAGTATCTGCTATGCAAATGTGAGGCCATGAATCTGACCCTCGGCACTATCCCACATGGGTGGAATGTGATTCCAGTGTTAGCATTGTCACTTGATGCCACAAAAGAGTGAATGAGATCAGACACAGTACAATAGCTTTTGTGTGTGTGTGTGTGTGTGTGTGTGTGTGTGTGTGTAGTACAACTAACGCATGTGCCCCTGAGGAACACCACAACTTTGTGACCAGGAAGTACTTACTATGTGCAACCACAGCAATAGCCTGACCATCACCAGTAGCAAGCACTACAATCAAACTGTGTAAACTCATGTCATTGCAATAACAAAAAGAAATAAAAGAGGAAAATAGGGAAAATTACTTAAAGAAAAAAGAGTAAAAAAGGAAGGAAGAAATGAAGGAAGGGAGGGAGGGAGGGAAGGAAGAAGGAAGGAAGGAAAGAAGGAAGGGAGGAAGGGAGGGAGGGAGGAAGGAAAAAGAGAGAAAGAGAGCGAGAAAGAAAGAAAAAAAAAACCCTTCTAAATAAATGAACTTAAGTATCAAAGGGACCAGTTGCCCTGGCTAGGTTGTGACAGCCAACAGCCCAAGGAAATCTTTTGCATCAGAGACTCACAGGCTTATTTGTTAAAGATATGTTGGGTATTATTGCTAGGTACTCATAAAAGACCCAGTGCTCTTTAAACCTATATGATTAAAACTACTTTGCTGGGATTTTTCAGGTTCCTCTTCCTTTGACAAGCAGGATTATGAGATTGAATTCCTGTAGGGCAGGGATTTTAACAAACTTTCCCCAGAGACTGGCATTAAGACACACTCAATAAATGTATAAGCATGGATGGAATTCTGGTTAAATTAATTTAATGCAACAATCCCTTGGGGTTACGATAGGTTTAAATGATTTTAAATGAGATTGTTTTTTGATGTAGTAAGAATTCCATTCCATGAGCAACCGCAATGTGTTGGGGTTGGTATTTTTTTGTTTCTTTGATTTTTTCTTACTACACCAACGCTCAGTTCTCAGCAGACTAGCAAATTCAGGTCTGACATTATTAGCCTAGGCAGGGTGACAGTAGTTTTCCCCAAACAGCAAGAGACCCATCTTATTTCTATGGTCTGAAAGTAATGCAGGTGCTGAGGATAAGACACCAGCTGTCACAAAAGATGCTCCCGATGCCCTTTCTACTCGGGATTTTCTAAGGGCACTGTGGGCTCTGAAAAGAAAGATAAAGAAAACCAAATGCCTCTTCCTGACAATAATCACATCAATGCAGTTTCCAGCAGAGGATAAGAGCAGGTCATCACATTGCACATCTCCTTATCCACTCCCCCGTCCTTCTTGAATGCCCGAGATCAAACCCAGGGCCTCATACATACAGGCAAGTACTCTCCTCATGAGCTCCATCTCCAGCCCCCTAATCCCCTTTAGCATCTACTGTTGCTGTCATTCTGAAGTTTCACTCTGTCCCAGACACTGCTGTTTACTTTGCCTAATTCATACCAGTTAGCTTGCTGCACAGAACCTTCTATCTGTACACCTTCAGGGGTCTCCCTCACACTTGCTCACGTCTCATGCACGTTCCCAAATATCTGTTAAAAGTTCCCTGACTGAAAATCATGGCACCCTCTTCCTTTAAATTATTCTTGAATTCTGTCCCCAAAATGATCAGAAAGGCTTATTAGTGTCTAGTCTAGCATTGTTCAACTAGGGGTGACTTTGTCCTGGAGTGGCACAACTGGAGGGCGTGACTTCTATCTGGTGAGCAGAGACCAAGGATACTCCTAAGCATCCTGTAATGTATAGGACAGATCCCACAACAAAGAATTATCTGGTTTCAAACATAAATGATGCTACTGGGAGACCCAGTTTTAGTCTTCTGGCTAGCTGTCAAACTGCTCAAATGACTCTATGCAAATGGCTCATAAAATGCCAACTATACTCAAGCTGAGCATGGATCATAGGTTTTCAACCAGTAAAATGATCCTATAATCTCTAATAGCTCAACATCTGGGTAGAAAGCCTAATATCTACCCGGTGGTGCGCAGGGCTTACTCCTTACTCTGTGCTCCGGGATCATTTCTGGCAGGGCTCCAGAGACCATATTGATGACCAGGAATGGAACCAAAGTTTATCACAGGTAAGGTAAGTCCCTTAACCTCGAACTATCTCTCTGACCCTATTCTCCACATTTTACAGATGGCAAAACCAAGGTTCTAAGAGGATTCACTATTCTCTAAGGGCTTAGCCTCCTGCTTTCTAGGACAGCCTATGCTCAGATCCAGACCCCCATCCAGCTTTGGCACCTGCCCTCCTGCCAGTCATGCTCCTCCCACCTCAGCCGCCCTCCTTAGCCCTGAAGAGTCTTCACCTTCCAGAGTATTCCTGCGGCCATCAGCGCCAATGATGACATCAAACTCAAACTCCGACAGAGGGTGGTCTGCAGGGAGAAATTCTGCCCGCCAACCAATTTCTAAAAAAAAAAAGAAAGAAAGAAAGAAAGAAAGAGAAAATGAGCTGGCAAAGAAAAGGGAGTAGGAGTCCCCGCTGTATTGGTCAGGAGAAATGGATGGAGCCACCCAGCAGCTGTGTTCCAGAAAGAATCACCAGGGGAAAGCACTGAGTGGAGCTGGGTCACACACTAAATTCCAACCCTTTTGGCTCAAGCAACACTTTGCTGCAGAGCTGGGTAAATCAATTTACTGTAACACTTTAGTTCTCTAGAAAGATTGCAGTCTCTCCTGGTGGGTAACAGCCTTTTACAAAACCATTTTCAGATGAAACCTGATTGGGATCAAGCGTCCACTCAAAGTCTGAGAGAGGTTCATGACACAGTCACTGAAAGTTAAATAATGGATACAGGACCACTCTAAATCTAGTCCAAATGCCCCTGGTCAAATAAGCTGGGCAGGAGCTGAAGAAATCAGAGCTGCAACCTACATATGAAACTGAAACTGAAATTTCTAAAACCAAGGAGGTCCCAAAACTAAAAGCCTTGTCCAAGCAGAAGATTTTTTTTTATTAATAACTTAGATTCAAGGGCATCATGATCAAAGTTTCTGACTTTTCTTTTGCACTGTGTGCAAAAGAAAAAAATTTACATAAATTGAGTAAAAAAAGAGAAAAATTATTAAATAAAATCTACAATGTAAATTTTATTAGTATATAAATTGTACTTCAGTAAAAATCAGAAATAAGACATACTGAAAATGCCTTGAATATTCATTTCATATTTTTTTCTAGAAACCCCACTCTTCACTGGAATTTAAAATGTCATATGTGTATAAGTATAATCACATATCTATACATTCTCACATACAATATGAAGAGCATGTGAAAAAATTTTTTCAACCAACTAAATCTGTCTTCTGTCCTGCCTACTAATCAAACTTCATTTGGCAAAGTATCACCTCCTAGTGACAGGGCAATCAATTTATGGGCTCAATGGCTTAGTTATAAATCTCCTGGGAGCTGAAAAGCAAAAACAAAAGTGATCATAAAAAGCAAAATATGGGGCCGGAGTGATAGTACAGTGCATAAGGTGCTTGCCTTGCATGCAGCCAACCAGGGTTCAATACCTGGTGTCCTATATGGGCCCCCAAGCCCACCAGGAGTGATTCCTGGTTGCAGAGCCAGGTGTAATCCCTAAGCATTACCAGATGTGGCCCAAAAATAAAACAAAAAAAAAGAGAAAAATATGGATTGGAGCAATATATAGTGGGTAGGATATTTGTCTTGCATGCAGCCAACAAATCCCCAGATCCCCGACATCCCATTCGATCCTCTTGAGTCCCAAGTCTGTTGTAGCATCATTCCTGACAGGGGTGATCCCTTAGCTCAGAGCCAGGAGCAAATCCTGGGTGTAACCCCAAAACAAAACAAATAAAAAAAAAGCAAAATATCCTTTGATGGGATCCTTCAGCTTTCAATAAGAATAGCTCTAACGGAAATAATGCTGAGAGCTACAAATGTTTTCACGTTGCAAATCTGATTTCTAGACAGAAAGAGAACATTATACTGTACTTCGATTTTCTTGATCCTCAGGAGGCTCAACAACCTTCACAAATTCTACATTCACGTGGATTTCAACTCCCAGCATCAGGGCCACCTTGAATAGAATGAGCTGCAGCTGACGAATACCTGTCGGGAAGAAGGGGTAAGAAAGAGAATTCTGAGTAGTCCCTCATATATTCATAATACTATACAAACACCCCTCCACAATTTCCAAGCATCACAACATATCATCAATAGTGATTACTGATCATTAATTATGAGCCAAGAACACTGAGGGGGTTTTTGTTGTTGAAACCTTTAAGTAACTTTTTGTGTTGATTATTCTCATTTTATACATGAAAATCCAAGTTCAGTGGAGCTAAGTGTCTTGATTAAAGTCATGGCAGCAAAACTAGAATATGACACCAGATCTGTTTGATTCCAGGATTGTGATCAAGCTGCTGTTAGATAATGCTATAATGACACAGGCTCTCTTTCCTGCTTCTTTCTGGAGATGAGCCCCAGGTTTAATAAGATTAAGACAGAAACAGAAGGAGGAGGAATAGACAAGGAAGAAGATGACGAAGACTAAGGAGAGAGATTGTAGATTGAGCCACACAGGATAACAAGTGGAGAACTGCCCCCATAAAAACTGAGCTCGAGGCTGGAGTGATAGCACAGCGGGTAGGGCATTTGCCTTGCATGTGACCAACCCGGGTTCAATTTCCGGCATTCCATATGGTCCCCTGAGCACCGCCAGGAGTAATTCCTGAGTGCAAAGTCAGGAGTAACCCCTGTGCATCGCGAGGTGTGACCCAAAAAGCAAAGGTAAAAAGGTAAAGGTAAAGGCCCTCCCGTTGATCATCGATTTGCTCGAGCGGGCCCAGTAACGTCTCCATTGGAGACTTTGTTGTTACTGTGTCTGGCATATCGAATACTCTCGGTAGCTTGCCGGGCTCTCCGAGAGGGGCGGAGGAATCGAACTCGGGTCGGCCATGTTGGGGAGTCGGGTTGCTTGGGAATGCAGCCCAAAGCGGGTGGTAAACTCCATCTAAGGCTAAATACCCAAAAAGCAAAAAAAAAAGATAAATAAAAAAAATAAAATTAATTAATTAATTAATGAAAACTGAGCTCATGATTTTCCATCTCGTACCTACTCTCCTCAACTCCCCCAATGAACATCTCAGATTCCTTATTTGAGGAATAGGCACATCCCTCATTGGGTGTGCCTTCCAAAAATTTTCTGCTGGGTAGGAGGTTTTAAACTTTCTGTGGTCCCTCTGTATTAGTGATAATCATTCATTAAACATGCATTGAGCATCTACAATGAGTCAGGTGACTCTGTAGGCCTAGATGCAATCAATCACACCCTGCAATGAAGAAAACACAGGAAAACTGAATGAGTTAGGGTATGGTGGCTAGGGGACATGATGATGGCAGGACAGGGCCTGAATATCACTCTTGAAAATAAGAGAGGAGAAACCAAATAACATGAAGAGATGAATAAAAAGACTCTTAGGGACAAGGGTACCAGGAAATCAGGAAGCTTTTTGGTATGTTGGTCAAAAAACTCTTTAGCATGGTGGCAGGAGAGAAATCAGCCAACAATGGAAGGAGTCTGAAGGGAAGTGACAAAGTCTATGCTCTTCTTTTTAATAAAGAAAAATAAAATAATAGCAATGGCTAAGACCCTGAGGGGGAGTGTGAGGAGGAAAATGAGGAGTTTTTGAGGGGGTAGGTGAAAATGAGGCAAAATGAAGCAGTCTGGAGAGGCTGGGTGCACTTAGAGGAGGTGAGCAAAGTCTGAAGGGGGTAGAGCAGGGTTTGTCTGCAAGTGCTTGCCTGGTCCCAGAGTCAAGGAGGGAGAATCATCTGCTAAGGAGGTTGCAGAGGTTGAAGATTGGTTGAGTCTGGAGGAGGTTGTGACAGAGCACAAATTCATAACTGCTGAGCAATGCTGGACCAGGATGCTGCTAAGGCTGGGGGGGGGGGCAGGGGAGAACAAGGCCATTAGCTGGGGCATCTGACATCCCATGCACCTCTTTGTCTTCCTGTAAAGGGCCCAGTCCTGACTTCAGTTGATTCTAGATCATAGTAGGTGCTCAATAAATCCCCCATTCCTCCCTTTCTCTTAGATATCGCATTGCCCTTGACAATTATCATTCTCTATGCTTGAATGGCAGTTCCAGTATCCTGCTGTTTTTTTTTCTGCCCAACAGGAGAGAGAGGGTAACATCTAGCTGGGCTGGAAGTAGGCAGATTTGGCCTTCTGTGCCCCTCTGCCTCTTTATAAGACTTGATGAAAGAGAGTTCCCTGGTACCGCCCTCCATTAGTAACCATCACATTCTCTTCCAGGGCTGGGAATGGGTACCCTGAAAGCTGATACTACTGCTTTCCAGGCAAATCTGATTTCCTTTCCATTTGACTCCTGGAATTTTCTCATCCCAAAGTAGGAATTAACTTTGGGGCCACTGCTGGTAAGCAATTCTGCATCTGGCTAAATGACACCCTTCATGGATGATAATTCACTCCAGTCTTTGCAGTGGCCCTTTCCTATCCATCCTTGTCCAAGACAACAGGAATCTCAGGTTCCCTTCCCACCCTCCAGGTGAGAGATTGAAGCTCTGACTTCTGCAGTCTGGGGGCCCTGGTGTATTCTGTTCCTGAGGGACCACTGGACACAAAGCCTTTCCTGAATGCCTACTGCTATGTCATGTCAAGCATAAGGCATACTCTATAGGACTTGGGCCTCCCTCCATTCCCAGAGATCCTGCTGGCCAGAAATTCGGGTCTTGATGGGAGACAAAGCTGAAGTTTGAAGATGCTAAGGAATTTGACCTGAGACACACAGGAAAGCGAGTGACAAGACAGATCTGGGACCAAATCTCTGCCAACGCTTAGTGTCTCCCCTCGGTGACTAACCTCACTCCCACATGAACTTGCTATGTATCAACAAAAGGAGGGGTGCTGCCCTATTGAAGCCACAGGGTTTATCCTGCCCCAAGAGATAGGCTCTCAAGCCCTACTTTTCTGATAACCCCCCATCAGGATGCACTCCCCCTTTATAGAACTTCAGGAACTGTGCCACAGTAGCTGAAGAGTCTTCTGGTCTAAAACCTGCCATAGTTCTCCAGAACTGGCCTCACAACATCCAAATTCTGTTTAAGAAGCCCTTGGCAACTAGACCCAATCATGATTTATGTTCCTCCCCCCCCCACTCAACTCCTTCAAGCAGGACTGATTATTACTGCTCTTAATAATACACATAAGCGTTATTTCTTATTTTTCATAATTATTTCTTCTGATTAAATATTTATTATTATTCCATAACCCATTAATATACAACCTCAACACTGACAAAAATCTCAGTAAGCTGAGTGTGCAGATGATGTGACCTACCTCCGCTTGTTTCCTACTACCATTCACTCATTCAAGCAGATGTGCTTGAGCATCTACTCTGAGTCAAGCACTCTCTCATGCGTGTCTCAGAAGTACATTGGTAAAGAGACCATGGTACCCCCTGACCTCATGATGCTTTAACCACAGGCAAAGTCGAGGGCACAGAGCAGGCCCTAAAGGGCTTTTCATAGGGGGAGGGAGGAGGTGGGGAGAGAAGAAAGAAGGGAGGAAGGGAGAGGAGAAGGGGAGGAGGGGAAAGGAGGGGAGGGGAGGACGAGAGAAGGGGAGAGGAGAAGAGGGAAGGAAAAAGAAGAGGAGAGGAAAGGAGGGGAGGGAAGGAGAGGCCACCAGGGTCAGCCCTGCTTGGAATACCATAAGAGTGCCACTCACTGATGTGGTCAATGGAGCCAGCACAGAATTTTCCATAGAACTTCTTGGCTCCCAGGCCCCGCAGGTCATGGATGGTGAAAGGCCAGAGGTGCAGCACGTTGTTCCGGGAAAAGGTGTCCCGCTTCTCCACCACGACCACTTTGGCTCCCAAGTAGGCAAGTTCAATGGCGGAACGTAAGCCACAGGGTCCTCCTCCTATGATGAGACACTGCAGAGGGGAGAGAAAAGTGATACTTGGTGATCTCTAGTGATGGAGAGACAAACCCCGCAGGGAGCTGAGGAGCAAATCTCCATCCACCCAAATCATAAGTAGGGTTTGCTATTGGTCCACTCCTTACTCCTTGCCTGTTGTGCTCCAGGAGCTATGCCACGCCCCTCAGAGGTTTGAGGGAGGTCAAGTAAGGTATGAGGTTTGGGCCTAAATATCAATTCTAACATTTTACCCCTTGGTTTCTTTATCAGAGGAAAGGACCTACTGTTTTAATCCTTGCAGGGTTATAGACAAAAAGATGATTTTCAACAAAGATTATGGTTCATCTCTGAAACACTGCACTATGAAATTGTTTCTGAAAGGTGAGGCGAAAGACACAAACAATAATAAAAGACAAATATTTCAATGAATGAATGGGTAGATGATCTAAATAGACTTTTCTTCAAAGAAGATAGACATACAGCCAATAAGACCATGGAAATGAGATTCATGCTCAATGCCATCAGTCATTACTGAAATGCCGTATGATGAGAGAGCACTTTCCACCCACTGGGATAATTATGATGAAAAGGACAGGCAAAAACTTGGAGGAGGGGGCAGGGAGAGGGGGGAGGAGGGGGGGAGGAGGAGGAAGAAAGGACCCTCCCTGCAAAATGATGCAGAATGCTTTGAACTGGTTTGGCCATTTCTCACCAAATTAACTGTGGATTTCCCATGTGATCCAATACCTCTATATAAATATATCCAAGAGAACTGCAAACACACGTCAACACCAAAGTATATAAAAAATGTCCACAGCAGTAGAAATCACAAAGTGCTCATTATTAACAAATAAACAAAAAGTGGTATTTCCATACCATGGATTATTACTCACGATAAACAGAAGTGATGGTATATGGATGAACCTTAGCAAAGACATTAAACAAATAAAACATGTTTGTTTGGTTTGGGGTTAGGCTACACTTGGCAGTGCTCAGGCCTTACTCCTGGCTCTGAGCTTAGAGATCACTCCTGGCTGTGCACAGGGGACCGTGTGGGGATTGAACCTGTGTCAGCAGTGTGCAAGGCAAGTGCCCTCTCTGCTGTACTATTGCTCTGGTCCCTAAACAAATAAAACACAACATAAAGGGACATCTGTTGTACATAATTCTGTTCATAGGAAGTGTGAAATCGAGGAAATCCATGGAGAAGGAAAATAGGTTAGTTGCTGTATATGGAAAGGAAATTGGAGGGATTGGGGAGTCACTGCAGATGGGGCTGGGTTTCTTTATATGGCAATAAAATGTTCTGAAATTAGGTAATGGTGGTAGCAGCAGCACAATACCATGAATAAACTAAGACCAATAAATTGCTTGTTTTTTCCTCTTGGAACCTTTGTTGCTATGACTTTAAATTACCGGGCAGGGCACTTGCCTTGCAGGCAGCTGACCCATACAGTAACTCCAAGAACCCCCAGGAATGATTTTTAAGTGCAGAGACAGGAGTAAGCCCTGAGCACCTCTGGGTATGGCCCAAAGCTCCCTCCCTGCCACCCTTGCCCCACACACACACAAAGTGAAAGGAAGAATGTAACCCAGTGGGGAACTGCCTTGTATGTGGAAGCCCTGGGTTCAATCCCAAGCATTGCAGTAAACAATAACTGCCCAAAAGATAAAAACTAGCATCTTCACAAATAGTAAAAGAATCATTAAATTAGCAACAACAGAAAAAAAGCTTGACTTAAAAAGCAGAAATACACTGCTCTTAATTTTCTGCAAGGTCATAACTTTATTGTATAAAAACAGCACCAGCAAATGCAGCATATTGCAAAATTAAGACAGCACTGTCCATTTGAAAAGAACGACAAAAAGTGTTTAAAAGAATGACTGTCATGGCATGTGAATTGTATCTTATTTCTATCATAACTCAATAAAATATAATATTTACATAAAAATAAAAGTAACTGCTAGTGAGTCTGGCACGCATTCCTAGAGATGCTGTTATTCTTATTGTCCCTGTCTTCTAGGACTTCTAAGTTTAATGCTAAGCTTATATTTGAATGAGATAAATGGAGACGTTACTGGGCCCGCTTGAGCAAATCTATGATCAACGGGAGGGCCTCGAGCAAATAACTAGCACTCAATATAGTTCTATTTAGAGCCCAGAAGGGAAAAAACTAATCCCACCTGGCAAGCTGGAAAAGAATTCACAGAGGAAGGTCTTTATAAATTATCATCCTTATCACCACCAGCACCGCCATCATCATAATCATCATTTCATTATCATTATCACCATCATAGCTCACATTTGTTGAGTATTCAAAACTGTGTTAGACTCTGGTTTAAGTGCTTTATGTATTCAAGCTCTTGATCCTCTAAGTCTAAGAAAAAGCACCTATTATTATACCTACTTCACAGATGGGCCAACTGAGGCTAATACAGCTAAGGAGTGGGACTGTGGTTTCATACATTGAAGAGAGGCAGAATCAGGACTCAAACCCAAGTGGTCCCATTCCAGTGTCTGCCATGCTATATCGTTCTGATATGCCAGGAGTGAAAACAGAAGAAATATTTATGGAGCGGGGAACTCCTGTTCAAAGGAGGTGAGAAAGAAGTTGCAGGTGGAAGGAGTGACAGACACTTTGGGTAAAGGGCATGGAGGGAGAGCGGAGAGATTGAGAGTGAGTCTAGAGTGAGAGGCTGAAGGAGTCACATGCCACGGAAAGGAGCATGGCCTCAGTCCTGCAGGTATGAGGCCCATGGTGAACAGAGATGGCAGCCAGGGACTCTGCAAGAGCCTTACACTGGAACTCAAAGGACCCTTGTCCTTCTTCAAGAAAGCTGTATGTAATTTGAAAAATAAAGGGAACAGATGCAAGGGCCAAGCTAGTTACACTAGGCAAAAGCCCTCTGCACTGTAGCACTGTCCTCCCGTTGTTCGTTGATTTGCTCAAGTGGGCACCGGTAACATCTCCATTGTGAGACTTGTTGTTACTATTTTTGGCATATTGAATATGCCACAGGGAGCTTGCCAGGCTCTGCTGTGCGGGTGGGTTACTCTCAGTAGTTTCCCGGGCTCTCCGAGAGGGACAGAGGAATCGAATCCACGTCGGCTGCGTACCAGGCAAACACCCTACCCGCTGCGCTATCACTCCAGCCCTTTATTCCAATAAATTCTAATGAGAAGTCTCCAATATCATCTCAAAACAGAAGGGGGAAATGCAATTAAGCTGAGTCTCCCGGGTGCCCTCCCTGAGGCTTCTCTGCCAAGCTGTGCCCTTTGAACATGCTGGGGTGAGATTTCACCCACCTAACTGGGGTACCCCTTCCTTCACCCAATCCCACTAGAGTTGGATACTGTAGACACATCTGGAAACTTCCCTCGGCTCAGGATCAAACTTTATCTTTCACAAATGCATTCCCTTTCCTCTTGCAAATATTCCATCATCCAGCTCTCACTCATCTGGGGCCTCCCGCGTCCCCCAGGGAAAGGGCAAACAAGCATATCAGAAGCTCCCACACCACAATCAGTGTGGCTGATGGGCCCTCCCAGGGAAATTTGTGGGAACCCAATTAAGGGAAATGAAGTCACCACTGAGATAGAACTCACTCCAGAGACGTCGGGGAGTGGGGATGCGAGCCCCCTTGCTTCCTTGCCGGTGGGAGAGCGCCAACTCCCCCCACCCCGGCTCTGTGCCTTATCTCACACCCCAAACAGCTCCCCCAGCTCGGACATAGCCAGACCATGACGGGCATTTCAAAGCAAGACTCCAAAACCCACACTTGTGAGGTTGGCTTGGGGTGAAGTCTGCAATCACTGCATTTCTTTGCACTTAGTGCATCTTTTCCTGTTTGCCGAGTTCTGTCACTCCAGGGCCAGAGTTGGAGCGGGGGCGGGAGGATGTGGGGTGAAGGGCAGGAAGGGAAGGCTGGGAGCCCGCATCCTTCCATCCATCAGGCCTGACCCAGCTCTGCTGCCTGGGCCAGGGAGGAGATCGCTTTCCCACCAGCTGGGGGGCTGCTGTGCTGTTTCTGTGCAAACAGTAGCAGTGGATGGTGTCCGCCCCTCCTGGCTAAATCTGCAATCCCACCAGTGGTCTTGCCACTTTCCTGCCACCTGCCCCCACCCCCCTCAACCCCCAGAACATACTTGGGGGCCTGAAATTTCAGAGAATGCCAATCATACCATAATCTAAAGTCAAAACAAGTACCAGCGGGCCTAATTGTATAAAGAGAGAAAATTCGGTACAGATGTTATCAGAGAGAAGGTTTGCTGGCAGGGGCCAGGCCAGTTCCTCTTGGAGCACGCTTGTTATGATTAACATGGGAACTCGGAGTCCTGACAAGAGGCCGCAGACTGTGGGCAACCCACGCTGGGACGGAGAAGCGGGAAAAGCGAGGGCTCCCCTGGCAGGCCTGCGGGAGGGCTCCAGACATTGGGTGGGGTGAAGGCAGACCACAACGATGCAGACACTTGTGATCTGCTCCCTCCAGAAGCAAGGCCACTTATTCCAGGCCTGTGAGGGCTCTCACGGCTGAGAATTTATTTCCCAGCAAGGAAAACTTTAATTAAAACTTAGGGTGGGAGAAGCTAGCTCACAAATGCTTTGCATACAGGAGGACTAGGTTTAATCCCTGATACTTCACGATCCCCCAGGCACCTCCAGGAATGACCCCAAAGCACCAAGCTTGGAGTAGCTCCTAGGCACTTCCAGGCATGGCCCAAAAAACAACAAAAATACCCCAACTGAGCCTGAGATTTTTCTTGAGCCACCAAACGAGACTGTACATATTCCCCAGGTCCTCTCTGAGTATTCTCCAGAGCTGAGCTCTTCATGATCTTCGGGTTTGTATCTGGCTGCCAGGCCAGTATGCACCCCCATGCTCTGAGGCCACTGTGCCTGTTTTCTGAATCTCTGGATGTTCAGGGCCCCGGGAGGGCATTGTGGGAAGGCAATCTCCACCCGTCATTCATGCATGAATGCACTTCCCATAGCCTCATGGCCCACCCGGGGGCTA